CAAAAACAACCTGTTTAATTCAAAGGGGCAAAGAGAGGTTAGAAAATGGACATGTAAAAAAACTAATTCTGACTATTTTTGGCATAGAAAATGTTGGACCTAATGAAATACAAGAAAAATATAGGGCATTGACCCTTAAAACTTTCTTTGTTGAAGTTCAGGTTTAATAGAAAAAACATCCAGATTTTCAATGTAGTCTCAGACTTTTGTATGTTTACAGAAGCGTTCTTATAGAAAACAAACAAACGTGTAAACACAAATGCACACAAACATAAGCACGCAGTTCCTCCCACCTTCTCTTATCATGTGATCATCTCCAGTTTATGTTTAACTCAGTTGCAGTAAAGATCTTCAGCCAAAATCCTCTGAGCAGGAGAAGCTACTTGGATCTTTCGCTGAGTGCTGCGATTCTTGTAATTCCCATTTGTTTGGCTTTCAGTGATTGCTCATTAATTACAGAGAGAGGCGATTAAACATCTCTTGTTACATCAGGCCTCCCAGGAAGCGGCTGTAGTTGAGCCAGCAGTGTCTGACAGGCCTCCGGACACCTACTGCCACGAACAACCAGGCCTCCCTGCCAGAGATCTGGCCTGCTGCACCCTGCCTGTCTACGGCCAGCAATGTGGCTGCCAGCTGAGCTCAACATGCCAAACACTGATGATGGTACAAGGATTTAGGGGGCAACAGAGTGATATAATTACAACCATGTCGTCTCAGAGCAGTGGTGGGGAATGGTGGTCCTGGAGGGCCGCATTCCTACACACATTGGTCATTTTCCTGCTCAAACACACCTGATTCAGCTCTGCAGTTAATTACTACCTTTGGTTGTTTTTTTTAGAAAAGAGAAATCAACAAACTGTGCTGGACTCTGTCCCTCTGTCCCTCTATCCCCTGGTCCTGACTCTGAAAAGATGAGGGGAGGAGTAAGTCATTAAAAAAAGGTTTAGTATTTCACTTTGATAACCCACTTACATAGAAAGCAGAAGCAAAATAAATGGAAAAGAGTCTGGAGTCCAAGAAAAAATCCACATGTTTTTGTCCAAACTTGCACAGCAAGAAGACGTCTGAGACGTGGAGTAGGATTTTATGGGTTGATGAACCTAAATTTGTTCACTGGGACTAGTTTATCATGGAAAGCGGAAAACGCAGACTGAGCTTTGGAGGTGTGGAAAAAGTGAAATCAAGTCTCCTGCAAAGAATGAAAGCTGTAATAAAGGCAGAGAGTTGACATACTAATGCAGGGGACAGCGACCCAAATGTTAAGAGGAATTTTGTCCTTTCAAAAAAATCAAACCACCTTAAAATTTTATCTTCATTTTACCATCTTGGCTGTAAATATGTCTCAGTGTGTGCTGATGTACTAGTATAGGCTAAAAAATATAAACAAAAACGCAGACTTACGTTGCTCTGCTTTAAGCTTTAGCTCAGCTATAGCTGCTTTTCTCACATCTCAGGCAGGAAAGAGCCGCATGTGGCTCCGGATTTTCTCTTGTATATGCTTTTTCCGCATTTCTTCCTGATGCTAAAAAAAGAATAACTTGATGTTTTGACTGGAAATTGACAGTAAACGAAATGATGGTCTCCAAATTTGGCGTAGTACTACATATACTTACAACCCTGGGACAAAAAACATTTCAGCCTTAGATATATGGCAGCCATCTTTGATTCCCCTCAACAACCTCACTCAATCTGGGCCATCTTCATTTTGCAAACAGTGCCATCTTTTAGTTCTCTTGCAATGTCTGATTGTAATTGTAAATAGGCTTAAGGGTCTGGGCTGCAACACTTTTTACTTCAGTGTGAGTGGGCAGGGCTAAACGGCTGTAGGCTGAATAGGCAAATATATGTAAATGTGTTGGTTTTTGTGACATCACAAAAAAACAGTGAATGGTATGTTTTGAAACTTTGAAAGCGTTTTTATTCGACATCAAACTCTTTTATTTGTATTTCGGTTTCCTGTGATATGGGCCCTTTAAATTTTGCGTGGGCCGAAATTTGAAATGCTTTAATACTTTGCTTCATTATCTTTTTTAGTGCACGTTTGGCTTCCACTGAAAGAATAGCTGTAAGTTACTCTTACAGCCTTCAGCAGCTACCTGAAAAAAGGAAAAAGATCCCCCCAGTAGTGGATGCTGAGTTGCTTGTGAAAGACCACCATCACTTGCAGAGAATGAGGCGGCCAGGATCTGCCCTCCTGCAGCAGCTTCATGCTCTTGAATGCGACTGTTGTAGAGCCGAGGGGCCGATCACCATGCCAGTCCAGCAGCCAGCCTAATAGAGGATGACGCCTGGGCAGGTATGGATGTTAGCAGCTCTCCGAGGGCCTGGGGCTAAACCGCGCCTGATGACAGTGTGAGATCTTCAGCAAATACTTCATAGAGAACAAAGCCCCAGGCGGCACACAGCTGAGAGAAGTGTTTAAGGTAGAATAAGATGGCATTAAGGCAAGAGAGAGCAGAAAAACATCCTCCATCACTGCCACAGGATTTCTCAGTGAGGACAGGGTGGCATTTGTTTCATGTTGAATACAGGAGTGGAAGCAAAGCATGGTGCTGCCCTCTAGTGGAGCAGCTTGGAAACGTGGCCTGAAATCTTTCCTGCCTGAAGTGAGAAGAGGGTCTTAAGCAGTTGGGAAGCATCAGGGCCTTTAGAGAAGGTCTGATCATTTCTGGTAACTAATGATGTATACGAATATAATGTTTGCATTCTTTTTATTCATTAGAATCATCATGCTTGTTGTAATTAAACTGAAAGAACCGAAAATTGTCCAGTCAGGGTTTTTCCCTGTGGCATCTAGCAAGATACAGCCAAGTGATCTCTCCCTTTGGTTGGGACTTCAGGAGCTGAACTGAACCTTTAACATAGATTAGCCAGCAACAAAATTAGGAAGTGACAGAGGATTTAACCAATCATATTTTGACTTACAATGGGTGGAACCAATTTAATGATTAAAAAAACTCTCTAGAGCCTTCTGGAAGTTCTAGATATGTCAATGACTGTGAATATGAGCCATTTTTAGTCAGGTTACAGTCAGTCACAGGCAAGAAAAAGCAGTTGTTAGAAATGGCATCTGTTCTACGCCAGGATTCTTTACTAAACGAGTCTCTGTAGAACTGCTACGTACATCAAAATCATGTCTGTTTGGTTCAAATGAAACATACAGTATGTCTTTTACAAGCTTCAAATGTCCGTGCTTGATCTAGAACGGCCAAAAAGTGTTCACGTGCACCACTGTCAGCTTAGCACAGAGGAAACCAAATGTAATGTTGATTTTTTTCTAAGGGAGACAAAAATACTAGTGCTACTGCCCGAGCAGGGATTTGAACCCCAATCTCAAGCATATAAGGTTATAATCTTACCTAATTTCAATGTAATTGCTTAAAACTAGTAAGATATAATCCTTAGGAGCTCCACAAAACTTTGCATACATTTTTTTTGTCATTAACAAAAACTTAAGTTAGTAGTGTCTCTTAGTAATATTTATTTGGTTGTCATAATAACCACATTACGTGTGAGGCTTTCTTAAAGAGATGCCGAGGCAAATGTCACTTCTTTAGATCTTTGTGTCCATAAAACTCTTCACAAATGTAGAACGAACAAAAAACAGTTAGCAAACTGTCACTTCAATTGCTGCTGTGAAGCATTAGCAAACGGGACAAAATAATACTGACCTATTAGTTCTGAAGCAGCAGAAATAAGTTAATGTTACCCACCTGTGAAGCAGAAACAGAGCAGCTTCCTCATCCCTCTTCATGCCTTTCAACTCTCATTCTGGTGCCTCAGGCTAGTGTAACCATTGAAATAACTGGAGCCTATGCAAACCATCACTGCTAACAGGACAAAACAGTCTTTCTGCTTCATGGATGGATTTTTAAATATGTGATAAAAAAGGCCTGACATACGATGGGTTTTGTAGTTCTCCATCTTATTTTTATTTTCAGCCCTTGCCAAAGCTGTAGGTCATGAAGCGAGTGCATTGTAAGCTAAGCTAAGATTAGCTAACAGAAATAAAAACCTCAAAGCTTTGATGACCACATTAATTATAGCTCTACACAATTACACAGCGAGTTCGCAGCAAAATAGGAGCCATGTTTGTAATATACTTCATGTTTGCAGTTACATTCTGGCACCTCAGGCAAAATATGGCTTATATGGTTTTACGTCACTGGACAGCTCTCAGGATTGTCGGAGATTGTTAGAGAAATATCAGCTGACCGCTAATCGCATATTTGGGCTAAAAACTGGCCGATACCAATTCACGGTTGATTGTTCCCTCTGTCTCTATGTAAGGCTTTCTTAAAGTTATTATCAGCCAGATTTCCAACACTGTGTTGATCTGTGCATCCACATCAGGTTGGAGTTAACAGAGGAAAAATCTCCTGGGCGGTCAGTACTGCATCAGAGAGGGCACCAAAGAGCACTGAGGTTTGTGAAACTCAAGCTGGCCTACTAGATCTGAGAATCGCTTAAATCAATCTTGAAGAATGGCCATATGAAAATACTGAACACTACCGTCTGAAAGCAAAAGGTCAGGGCCTAAATCCCACCCAGGGGCCTATTTATGCATATGCCTGGCCAACATACTACTAGAAATCCAGTAGGGGTGCTAATGAGCATTATGGTTCAGTTTTGTGAGCAAGTTTTGACATTTAAGATTAAGTGACCCTTATTAGTCCCACAATGGGGAAATTTCACCTCTGCATTTTACCCATCCGTGCAGTGAAACACCACATACACACTAGTGAACACACACACTGGGGGCAGTGAGCAGCCCTCTCTGCAGCGCTTAGGGAGCAGTTAAGGGCACCGTAGTCACATACTGTCGGCTCAGGGGGTCGAACCAGTGACCTTCCGGTTACAAGGCTGGATCCCTAACCTCCAGCCCACGACTGCCCGCAAACTGAAGGCCCAAACTGAAGGCCACATTGGTTACGGTTTGCCACTGATTGCTAAACAATTCACCTCCCTTTTAAATACAATACATACAAAATATCTTCATATTTTCAGATGATCAAATGTGTCTTAGTCTTTATTAGATTTGATTCAATGTGTAAATCACCAAAAAAAAAAAGTTAAATCAGGGTTATTACAAGCATGATCATTTCACACAAACAAAAAAAACAGCTAAGAAAAATGCGTCTCACAGATTAGGAAAATAACCAGGTGTTGAATCAGTAGTACCTTCAAAACAAATGTAGGGTTTTTTTTAATAGTAAGTGAAAATATACTGTACAACTGGCAGTTATGGAGTCAGATAATAAGGAATTAGGTTGACATCTTAGCATTATGATGTGAATTTACACATATAGAGAATATTACACAATTTTTTTCACATAGCTTCACGATGAGGCCTCTTTTTTTAACACATACTGTATTTTAAGCACAATATTTTACATTGGCAACCGCTTCTTCTGAATGTCGCCTCTGTAGATGGTCCAAAAAATGCTGAGTGAATTAATATAAAAATAGTAACGGAAAATATTGTACAAAGCAAAAACGACACTTGAACGACGGTTGAGACCTTTGCACTTCCCCAGCACCAACTAATTCAATTGAGAGGACAAAGTTCTTCAATTTCAACAAAAATGTAAAATCTTATTGTCTTAAAACACCAAATAATGCTGTTACATTTTTTGAAAACTTATGAATAGAACCAAACGATAATAATATGACGTTTTGCAATGCCAGTCGGATGCACTGTCATCCTGCTCAGTGTTCTCCATATAAAATGAATAGAAAATGGTATACTGAGAAAAAAATCAAAGAAGGGTAATTACTGGAAATGATGTTGTGGATATCACTGCTTATTATTACAACAGAACCTCTGTAGCCACCATACCATTTACGTCTCCTTTCATACAAGCCCTTGTGTTTCACATGCATTAGAACCATTCTTCTAGGAATACATGCCAAAAGTAGCTTTTGTAACATTGCATTCTATTCATCAAACGTAAATTCAGTATAATGAAACATTTGCTGTCATTTTCATACTGAAAACCTGCTGCAATTATAGTCACTTCCTTTAGGATCTGAGAGAAACCAATATATATAGATATATTCTAAAATCAATTTGTCAATTTTGAGTCTTTTTATTATTATTATTATTTTTTTATTTTTTTTACAGTTTTTGGCTTATGCTGTATATTTCAGCAGATATATTATGTAGTTTTTGATACTGTCTGATATATAAATTTTTGTACCTATCAAAAATAAGGCAATAAAATAGATATGTTGTTTTGGTGATACTTTATCTACTTGTGGAAAGAAATGAAGAGGAAAATAAATGAAAATAAAAAATTCTAGCCCTCACATACTCCACCACTAGTCTTCTATAGTAATAGTTAATGATGTTTGGGATTTGTGTCATCTGTAACTTTTCTGACCACATCTGGCTACGTTACGCTCCTCAAACTTGTGAAACTATCCGATTTGTTATTGGACAATTTTTTTAAAAAAGCGTAAATTAGGTTAAGTTTTAGCAGAAGCAAAAAGAATGCGCTATTCTGTAAGCTGCTGAAAAACGTCATGACTACATTAGATACAGTACAACATGTCATTTCTGCTCAGATGCTCAGTCTCTTTTACACCAAGGTCTTTTTTTTACGTAAGCCATACATAGAGTGCACAAAAGAATCACCTGCGATATGCCTGCAATATTAACCTTGTCAATAAAAAAGCAACAGAAAAGAGCAAAAGACACAGAGAGGCATCAGTGAAACCGGGATAGCTCAAGACGGAACAAAAAAAAAACTGTTTTCTACTTTAAGTAAGCTGATGTTTAAAACACACACACGTAAAATCCCACCGGCCTCGTTTCTGTGAGAAGATCGAAAAAAGCTTCAAGAAAAAAGTTTGGCCACTGAAATGGCCTTTCTAGGTCAGTGGAGGAGGCTGAGAGAACATCCTCTCAGGAGAGCGTTGGCTAATGGTGGGCTCTGCATCCTGTCCAGGATGGAGGCTGAGACTGTGATTGATGGGCCTGGTCGTGTCTGGTCAGGGCCTTTTGGGCCCTTCTGGCCTTTCAGGCCCTTTGGAACCTTTTGGGCCTACTCGGCTGGAGTGGCCCTTTAGACCAAAGAGCCAGGATGGGGTAGGGCTGCTGTGGTATTCGGGGCATTTTCATCTACTGTACAAACCCTGCAAAAGCACACAAGAAACCAAAGGCTTGTTTTAAACAGATGTCAAACTCATGAAATGTCAACAAACGTTTAATATTTGGTCTAAAGATTTCTGGGTAAATACATTAGCACCACTCAACAGATCAGATAAGTAACAGTGTGTTCTCTTTCTGATGTTCCTTATTCATGTCCTAAAAGCAAGAGAGTGTTCAAAAGTAGTATCGACTCGTGTTGAAAAGCCTTCTGGATGTCCACAGTGGAACGTTAGGTTTGCATGTTAAATCAAAATGTAAACAAACAGATCTATCAGAAAAGCTTGAGACTTCAACTAAAATGTATCCTAGCTATGCTGCAGTTTTGGGCAGCTCAGTTGTATCTGCTAACTTGTATCTCCTAAGTGTACTTAGCTAACTATCTTTATCAATCAGTGACACAAAACAAACTACCTCAGACTTCGCCAACTCCTGTAAATTCCAAATTGTTGCCTTTCTCTTAACATCTTTATAATATGAACTGAAAGGGTTGTAAACATCCCTCCTTTTCTCCACTTTTTAGATGAGCTTCTCCTCATCCATGGTGTGGAATGGCAGAGCAACGTCAAAAACTGAAATGGGGCGTCCATCAAAACCACCGTGTTGCATCGCACTACATCGCAGTCTGCTGCTCATAGCTGCTGTAGACAGCAGCACTGATTATCATACAAGCGTTCTGGTTTAGTCATTGATGCTCGCTTGTGATGCTTGTTGTCAGGACACAGTGTGATGCTGTGTTTACATATTGGTAGAAAGCAGTCAACAGAAAACTGTGATTTCCATTGTTTTCAGTGGAGCAGCGATGGAAAATTCTGCCGGCAGAGGCCTGTAGAACATTCCTTTAAGATTACAGCTTTCCCAATGTTTGCCTTCAGCCGTCAAGGGCATAGCAACACATGGGCCTGGGTGGACCTGGGCCTACTCAGATTAATCACAGTTCTACCCACCAAAGGGGCATGGAATATTTCTTAACCTGCATTTTTTAAAATAATGAAATGTGGTTTGTTTTCTGTAAGTGTTGTCATTGTATTATGGGCAATGAAATCATCACACTTTCCACAAAGCTCCACCTTATTTTCCAGCCCTCCAATCACTGCTCAGCAACTGTTGCTATCTACCATTGCCCTAAGCCTTCAATTCTACCATATCATCTGAATTTGAAGATCCAGTTGCAGCCAACCCAAGACTGCTAAAAGTCAGATTCCATTTCCAATAGAGAAGAGTATGTAGTTCGACCCATTGCCAAAGTAAAAAATAATTTAAAGAACATCACTTTTGTCAGTTTTTGGCAAATTTGGTACTTACAGTGCTCTTTTACTATAAACACTAAAATGGGCTCTGTCAAAATGTTAAAGCAAATGTTTACTTCAATGCATCAGTGCTGTGACCATGGCAACGTTTCAGTGGTGTACCGCTATGAGGCATGGAACATCTATTTTTTTTCACCAGCATGTAAATACAGCATTAGAATTTGCTACACAATTTGCTATACATTGCAGAAACTTGCAATTTGAATTAATGAATTAAAATGAATTAATTTCTTATGTGCAACTCATTCTGCTGAAAGTGCAGATTGTACACTTTCATTCCATACCACATTTTTGTTTGTAAGTAAACATACAGAGATTTTATTATGATTTGAACTTGATTTGTTTTTGTGTAAATGGACTAGTTTTGCAGAAAGAAAGAATATATATTTTTGGCATCAAAATAAACAGAAAATTAAAAAAAAATGCAAATGGATACTCAATGTAAACTCTCTGTAAATGTAATTCACTGCATATCTCACTAGGTAATCAGTCATGTAATTATGTATTTATAAATAAATAAAATTTAAAAATCTGCGTAACTCAATAGTCGAGAAATAAAGTCATTTAACGTGGTTTGACGTGAAATGGTTCATTGCAGGGAAACATATCACATTTTATTTCTTTACAGTGGTGGCGATGGGACCCAGGGGTCATGGTGTCTACAACACAAATATAACCATTTTATTTACTATCCAAAATGACCAGTAAACCTACATGTGTCTTCTGAGTTGTTTAGGTAATGTTGATGATGGTAAAATAGTGGTTAATCTGGAAAAAAAAATGTTTTCTTCAAGGAAAACCTTCCTTACAGATCACTGCACCACTAATGTACTTTAAAAATACATTTGAGTCCAAATCTTTATCTCAAAACTATCCTTAAATGGCATCAGTCAGCATTACCATAACAATTTAATGTGAAAAAATTCTGTGAAGGAGCTTTTAGAGGCATTACACACTTCAGACGTCTGGTTCCTGTCACCACCACTGTGAACAATTCTGACTCTGCAAGTTTCTATAAAACAGAATATTTCATATCAAACCACTCTGAATGACTTCAATCTTAATGATTGAGCTATGCAAAATTTAGTACAATAAACAGTACATCAAAACAGAAGTATTACCTCTAGACTTTTACAGGAAAAAAGAGCAGCTCTACTGCCACTAGACCGAACAATTTAAAAAAAAAAAGAAAATTTACTGTACCCAGGTGAATTGCTGTTTCCACTCAACCCCCGAGATTCATTCATTTCAGCAGATGGTCTCCAAATGACACGGGTTCTAGAAATATAACACACACACACAGTTGTAGTTTGAGACAAGAAAAATGCATCAAATTAATCTAAAATTCTGCAGCCAATGCCAAGCAAAATCTATGCTATTCATCTTGTTCTACAGTTAACCTTGAGGAAAAAACAACAGGAGCCTTGAGCCCAGAGAAGAGCTTAAACTTGGAAGTGAATATCTTAAGGGCAGAATGGGAAAGTAAATGCGTGATGAACCAGATGAGTTAGACTGCTGTGGCTGTCGAGCCGAGTGGGGTTTGACTTTACCGTGTCATTCCACTGGCGGGGCAGGTCATCCGGCTCCGGAGGGTAGGACATCCACGAGGGGCTACGGTAGGAGGATGGCGGTGATAGGACAAAGTAGTCAGAGTAGCCGGGCCGGTTGGCTGATATGGCATACACGGCTGTCATTGGGTTTCCTAAGGAGATCCATCAACTGAATTAACCCTTACAAACAGCAGTTATATAACACACGCCTGTTATTATTTTAATGAATTATTTCACACTCAGAACCCACTGAAACTGGATTTTTGCTTGTTATGATAATGTGTCCAGTCTTGACTCTGAACACTGAATGTCTGCATCTAGGTAAGCCACATTATTTTTGAATAATGAAATTTTTCTCAAGGTGTCCTTCGTGCTACTGAAATTTTTATTCTGTTAGTACGTGTTACGGATTCTACCATGCAGCCTGAGCTGAACGCTTGACGGACATAGCAACATTAACTAAGGGGGCAATTGCAAATTCCCAGTCAGCGAGCACATATCGGTCCATTGGCTTGATAAGGTCGGTGCCCCACTGGCTGTTTGCCACTTCTGGTCCACCCTTGGACCACCTAGATTACTGTCCTGCATACAAGCTGTAACTAGTTTTTAATCTCCTCAAACAGATTTTAAATGCACAGAGACTCTTACTTTGGAAAACACAAGGACAAAGACAAATATTATGAACAACTGACAGAGAGAAAAATAATGACTAGGCCTGATATAAAATGATTTTATAGAAAATGTTTTTGCTGTCCTGGATTAAAATGATTAATCTATTAAAACTGATTTACAAAGTATAACTAAAGAAAGAAAGGAAGGAAAACTAAGTAAATTGGACTGTGAGTGGAAAATGAGCGATGATAAGTGGAATTTTGTGTAATACTCTGCTTAACCAGCGGTGGGCCGCCCAGAAAATGTTAATGGGCCGCCAGTTTTGCCACCAGTGGGCCAACAGTGGTCCACTGTCCTCTTGCTATCAGGGTGGTCTATTAGGTAATTATATTTAAATAAGAATGCACTGCAAATCTAATGTACAGGATTCAAATATTTCAGTGGGAACTCAAGCTTTTTTTCCCCGGACATCCCTTATATAACGTTTTTAACTTAAAGGTACACTCCAGCCAAAATGAAAAAACTAACCATCTCTACATCTGTTGTAAACATGCCTACTCATATCCCACCGTGTGCTGCAGTAGTCTCTAGAGAAATATTTTCCAGTTTAAAGGCTAGGAAAACCCCATTCTTATGAAGTATCCTGAACGTGGAAGAAAGGTGGAAGGAACTAGATTAACAGTCAGGATTGGTTGACACCTCAGGGATTCCCAATGTATGATGTATTTGTATTTGTTGCATATAAAATTGATGAACAGAAGCATGAAAATGGTTTATAACTGTGAATTCTGTCAAACTGACGATGGTGCCCTACAGAACACCGCAGTAACACGACACAAACATATTAAATCTCTAGTCTTAGGCCAGAGCATCCTTTTAATTTAAGTATTACTCCGATACTTTTAAGCAGTGAGCGAGCTAATATATCTGTTTTGGCTCTCTCAGTGGACATTCTTTTCCAAATATTCTCTAATATAATCTGACCCCATGAACTAAAGCCATTTATTTCTATTTTGACTAAAACACTGGCATGTCCCTTATTTCTAATGCCCACACTGACACCTACATTATATTAGCGTTAAGAGCCTGACCTGAGTAGCTTGACATGGACTGGTCCACAGTCACTGCTGGGAAAGGAGCACGGTTTATTGGCAGGTAGGGGGTGCCGTTGTGCTGACTCATCTCCGAGGCCTCGGAGACGCGGGGCTTCAGACTCATGTCTGGTGTCGAGCTGCAATGACAGAGACATGAAGGGAAAACAAGTGCTGTTGCCATTCTGCTGTATGACCACCAGGGGGCAGACAAAGCACACGCAAACCGGCCTAACAGAGCCGCAAAGCTGCATAAAAACACCTCAATGCAGTCAACAGCTCCGTCTGCTGTGCAAAAACATCTTTTTATACATGCCAGCCACAGCCATCTCAGGAACAACACGTATGAATATGCACAGAGATGAATGCTAATGCTGAAACCACCAACGCATCACTGTTTTAAAGATGCCAGAAGAAGCCATTTAAAGGAATACTAGCTATATGCCGCTTGTGTAATACTGTGGTTTAACAGAGACAATTATTTTGAAGTATTTCTCTGTTAAAAAACACCCAAAACCAACAAATCACACTTATTGTAGAAGCCAATGGGCAGTTGTGAGTATGTGAGTATATATGCATGTTTGTTTTTCTGTTCTTACCACCTTAGTGAGGTTCCAGGGGGCGCTCCAGCTCTGGGGGTTATAAGAGGGGGCGGTGAGCCTAAACCCATATCAGGCAGCTGGGTAAACCTGAAGCCCTGTAAAGCAATCACATAAACAACAACAACCAATCAACTCCCTCCATCTCTAGTGCACTATAGGAATTAGCATAATGAAATGTTTACATCTCTTAATGGAGCCTGTGCTTCAGGCTTGTTCCCAGGTCAACATTACCAGCGTGTGTTTATTTTTAACGGCACGCATTTCAGGATGTAACTAAGCCCACTTAACGGGCCTGCTTTCTTCTACATTAAAGGTAGATGTCAATCTATATGAGGCAATTGTTGGCATATCATAGCTATGTGATCATAGCTATATGAGTGGAATGTCAGGATTTATTACTTTCAATAAATCAATAAAATTATTTTCATTGTGTAAACACAGTAAACACCATTTCTAATTTTCATCACCAACACCCGGACAGCCACAGCAACTGCATGTTCCAACTAAGCAGTCTATATAGATGTCATATATACAGTCATATCGTCACTGTCCAAAGAAAACCATGCATCTCTATTCTTATCGTTTTTTCATTTTTCTACATCATTTCAACACACCTGAACATTTCAACGCATCCGCTGTCCTTTATCTTGTGTGAACATTTTATAATGAATGGACCAATAGAAATGCTCCAAAATCACTTGGAATAAAATCTCATTACATTAACTTATGTTAAAAGATACACTGCAAAAAATAGTAAATTATCAAGTAAAATTATCTTAAATCTAGTCTATATATCTAATATTTCATATTTTTAGATGGTTGTGATAAGTAATAAGAATATTTAACTTATTTCCAAGCATTTTTTACTTTGTTTTAAGTAATTTTATTAAGTAAAAGTATATCACTACAGTGGCAGATAATTTTGCATGTTTCAAGCACATTTCTTAAAACAAGCAAAATTATCTTCCAATGAAGTGAAATAAGTTTCCTTAATATTACTTAAAACAAGTGAAAATGTTCGGGAATAAGTTAAATAATAATCTTAAAGTAGCTTACAACAATCTCAACAGGAGAAATACTGGACATATCGTACAGTATATAGTAGATTTAAGATCATTTTATTTGACAAGAACACTATTTTTTGCAGCATAAGAGCGTTTTTGCCTTCTCCTGTAAAGTTACTATTTTGAAGATACTTGTTTTTCTTTGGACAGCGACCATATGCAAAAGTTTAAATACAAATTACATGTTTACAAGTGTAACTAAGTTAACACATCCTCTACAGTAAACAAACTTAAATATGGCATTTTTGTTAGTGCACGCTTTCTGTTTATTTGAGTTGAACACATTGGGAAAAATAAAAAAATATATAAAAATGTGCCATGAATTTGCGCAGATCACGCAAAGTAGTTATTGTGTTCTTGGTAGAGGATGTGTTACATTTTCTTCACTCAGAAAATCAACAAACATGTCCAGAGATGCCCAAACTTTGGCATAGGAATGTATCATATATACATTCAATGTTTTCCATCTCTTGATTATAGTGTCTCACTTTTACTCTCATTCATACACCATGTGGATTCTTGATACAGTGGAGCCTCTAAAAGAGAATGTATCTCTTCTTTACTGTTGTTTATGTAGTTTGCTGTTGGATAATTATCCATAGTTCTCCCATGAGCACTGTCCAGTGTGGTCAGCTAAAGATACTGATGGTATCACTTTTAAAGACACTTTATAGATGTATTTGAATGAGAGGACTACAATCCCAAATTCTATCATAGAACATACAGCACAATCCAGCTGGGCTTCAGCCTGCACTACTACGAACGGCCTGAAGGGTCATATTAGGAAAACACATTGATTATTAGCAGCGTTAATAATTGATCACGCTAACACATTATTAGCATGTTTCACAGCCCTAATTAACGATACTACTAAATAGACTGTCTTTAATTAAACACAGATTTCTCCAGTTAAGTTCAATAACAGTTTGTTTTTAACACATCTATTGTAAGAGTATAAGTGAAGGGAGAGAAAAATGGGACTCACGGGTTTGGGGAGGCTACACTGGTGCATGTCTGGCTCAAAGGAGGAGCCACGCTGCAGAGCTCCAGCTGGGTGGTCCATGGTGCCCGGGGCGCTGGTCACTCCGTCCGAGTAGGGGCTACTCTGGCTGGGGTTGTAGGGGCTGTGGGAGTGGGGGTGGTGGTGGTGGTGGCGGCCGCCCGTGGACGGCTCGGCGGAGGCCAGGCCGAAGGCGTTGTCCAGCAGGAGGTGCATCTGCTGTCGCACCTCATCGATGGAGGGCTGGGAGCTCAGGGTGGACGAATCTGAGTGACCTTTGACCTGGTGGCTGCCACCGAAACCCAGAGAGCTCATGAGGCGGTCCACGTCGGTTTCTTCAAAGGGTTCTGGTTCGGCCTGGTGAAGACATACACATACACGCGCACACAACACAAAAGCACGCACATAAATACATGCGCGCACGCACATGCACAGCACTCTGTCAGCCAGAGGTGCGAACACGTCACTGAGCTGCATGTAAGCAAGACTTGACACTTAAGTCCCAAGCCCTGTCCCACGTCAGTCCAGGTAAGTCTAAATGAAGTCTGGGGTTCTAAACAAGTCAACAGTGAGCACCAAAAATGATGGTAACAGTAATATAAATAAAAATAGCATATTAGTAGTATATCGCTGTTGTCGGGACAAAACCTCATATCTCCATTTTTGTCATTTTTCAGTTTGCCCTTTACATTGTGTGTAAATTTCATGATGAACCGACCAAAAGAAACAGTCCAGAATGACTTGGGAAATAGTCTGGTTCCATTGACTTACATTAAAAGAAAAGTATGTTTTTTCCTTCTCCTGTAAAGTTACCATTTTGGAGGTAGAGATATTTATATATTGGTATTATGTTAAATTAACACTTTTTTTAATTTATTACCCTTCTAAAATTTCTAATTCTATGACACATGGATAATCATAACAGACACAATGGTTTACACCATCGTGCAACTACACATAAGAGGAAATAAATAATTTTCAAAGTACTAGTAAACCTAACAATAAAAAACTTTTTTTATTATGTTTGGTAGTTTTTTTATCCCTTTTCAACCCCCCAGTATAATTTCTTTGGCTGGTCGATACAAATAAAAAATAGCTGACTACCAGAGCTGCCCATCCTGGCAAGCGATTTAAATGGGGGGTCAGGCAAATATACTACGTTTTCAACTGAAACATGACAATGACACTAACAGGCTAAACATAAACTCAAAACAACAGCTAGTCTGAATTCATTTCAGATGAAAACAGAAACTAAAATGGCCACGATGAATAAATTTTATAGAAAAGGAAGCATTTTGAATTTTGTTTTAACTGCAGAAGCCATTCAAATCCTTCAAATAGAAAGAGCGAAAGCTTATTAATACGCAAAGCATTATGACAGTGTTTGATTGAAGTTACTGTTAGGGGCCTATATCAAATATACTTAAGGGTCTGCATGGGCATGAAACTGATGTCACTGGTGTTCAAGTCAAGGTCGAGTCATTGGTATTCAAGTCAAAATCCTCACAACCCTTTATTGATTTAGTCCAAGTCATGTGACCTGAGTCCACAGCTCTGCTATTAGCTCAAACTGCACTGCAATTACAAACACATACACGCACATAAAACACTCCTGCAACTGTAAATCATAAACACATATAAAGTAGAAAAGATGACACGTGATCATAAATTAAAAACATAGATTTGCATACATGCCTCAGCTAACACATTTAAAGCTTCAAGCTGGCAAACACACACGCACGCATACACACACACACACACACACACGGTAAATTTACTAAGACGCAACACACTTTTAATGTCTCACACACAGATTTACTCTCACACAAACTCCCATAAACAAAGTCCTACACATACACACACAGCAGATCTACCCAATTTGCAAGTTAAAAGCTCAGCACATTTATGGCTATTAACTGATATCGAATTCCACATCTGAATCTCTGAATAGACTGTAATCATCTTCATGCTGGCCGAGACTGTGGCGGGCGCTGCGGTGGGACGGCCCGAACGTCAGAGTAAGAGACAGCATTTGCTCTGAATGCGCTTTGAGCTCTGCTCTCCGTCACTGCAGTTTAAAATGGGCTGAAAGGTAATCGCCTTTGCCTCAGCCTCCAAGCAGACGCCAGCGATTACAGAGAGCAGGGAATGAAAGAGCCGTATCTTTCCCGAGCAGACCCCCGCATTCTGAGCCACGTGGACCGCACGCACCAAAAAGTACTGCAGAGCCAGAGATGGGGGTCTTCATACAGTCTGACCTCCATGAAAGACCACCAAAAAAAGGATCTGTGTAATACAGAACTTCAGGTTTACTGTGTTGGTGCAGTGTCAGTAAAGACGCTACTTAGCCTTTGAAGTAACCTTAATTTTCTTTTCAACTGCAAAAAAGCCAAGGATCCTTTGCTGGCAGAGGAAAGCATGTTGGTCAGCAAGCAGCCAATTTATCTGGACACTGCAGTAGCCATAGCTACTTACATACAGTCATATGCAAAACACCCTGGTTAAATTACATGTTTTGTTGTGCAAATGAGTTTAGACATCCTCTATAGAGAACACACTTAAATGCAGTTAAATTTACACCTAACTTTTTATACACTTAAATTTTTCTGCACAATTTCTATTTATTAGCTGAGTGTAGAAATAAATATGTTCTGTGCAGGTACATTTTTCATTCACCATTAAATAAAAATAAGTTTTTCCAGGTGAAAAGTACGTATTTGTACCTTTTCATAACCAAATGTTTTAAAACAGAACAATAAAATAAAAGGTCTGAAAACGAGACAGGGGTGTGTGGAGTCAGTACAACTTAGAAAATATCATTTCAGTGGATTATTGTACAGTTATGTTCCCTGACTAAAGGTACTGAGATGTACCCTCAAAGGTACCACCCCAGTGACAAGAGGGGTACTGCCCCAGTGACAGTTTGAGAGTGCACTATATTGAAAAAAATATAATGTAAAATATAAAATGTGCCAAAACCTTTTGCACGATTAATTCTCCCAATATTTTCAGTTCAGCAAATAAGCAGTAATTGTGCATTAAAACGTGCCCGCAGTGAGTTCTCTGCAGAGATATTCAACATTCAACAACTCAGTGGCATTAGGGCTGCACGATACATACAGTACAACTAAACACAGCAATTCCGATATGACTTTTAATGTACTGTCACTGTCATAATAAAACTTCATATCACCAAAATGGTCATTTTATAGGAGGAAAACATTTTTTTTTATTTTTATCCAATTTTTCCCCCATTTTGGTCATGGCCCTATTTAGTCTCCTCCATCACACGGTGCCAAGCTAGCACATGCTTCTTTCAACTCCCATGAAGTTACACAGCATCTTGTCGAGTAACCTACTATTGCTTTTTGTAATCAAATTCTAGGTTTAACCCCTTAACAAGCCAGGGGCCTGCCGGTGGGCCCAAAGTTTATTACACACTACTATAATCTAAGAATAGCTTCATTAGTTTGCACTGAAGTCCCTGTAGTTACTGAATAATAAGACTTTGGGTGAAATAAACAGGTTGTTACGCAGTTAATTTAGTGCAGTAACAGCAAAAATAAGCGGCTGCAGCGTACAGAGAAACTAAACAGTGCTGGCAATCGCAGTGCCCACTGCACGCCAACGGCAAATGTTGGCAGTCATGTGCACACCTTCATAAAAACCAATGGTTTCGAATTTTTGGGCATGTACCGTAGTGCGTTGGGTGTACATTTATAATGATACAGATATGAAGTTAAAGGAGTCCTGCCTAGTAACATTAGTGAAAAAACTACAGGGGTAAACCTCACAAAAATGTATTGTTGTACTGTGAAAATAGTATGTATCAATACATAGGTCACTTCATAGTCAGACTTTCCTCCAGGGGTACCCATAAGACCTCTGCCACAATTCGGACTCTGACCATGACTAAGAAAACTGCCAATAATAATTTAAGTTTGCTAATACAGGAGGAAATAAGCCAGCGGGTTTGAAAAATCTGAAGGGTTAATGGAGTAAAGTTGCTGGTATATTAGGACTCACATCGTAGCCGCTGTTGCGGATGCCCCTCCTGGAGCGCTCCCTCATGACCAGCAAGTCCAGCTCAGTCTCCACAGGACTCGGGGTGTTCAGAGACTGTCTGCTCCAGTATGCTGGCTCCCTCTGGCTCTCACTGCAAACAAAACATTGCACACCTCTCATCTTCCACAGCAAAACTCTGCACTAAATGTTTAAACATTTGTAGACACCTGCTCATCTAATGAACCAAGGGTATCAAAGGGAGCTTGTCCCCCCTTTGCTACAGTAGCAGTACACTTCTGGAAAGGCTGTACACTAGATGTTGGAACATTGCTGCAAGGATTTGATTGCATGGTGCCATAAGAGCATTTGTGAGGACAGGTACTGATGTTCTGAATCACCAGCTCATCTCAAAGGTATTGAATGGAGCTCCATCACACTGATCCACAGCCCAGTACTGGGGGCATTATACCCCTCTAGCTGACACTTGGCATTGGGCATGGTTTCCTTAGGCACATGTGTGGCTGCATTCTATTGCTCAATGCTTTTCTATGGAGATTATACAAGCTATGTGTGGCAACTGAACAGCTGTGTCAGCAATGTGTTCACCTTTAAGTATCTGAATTAACTCATTAAAGGAACGTAGGGTTTTTTTGTGGGCATATAGTGTATCACTATTGTTTCACACCTGCGTAATCCAGCGACTAACATAGGAGATTAAATAAAATCAAAAGACACAGACAGGAGATGGTGACTTTGAAAAAATTCAACAGATTTGCATGTTCTTCAGCCACCACTTTTCATCTGATGTCCTTGATGCCTCTAGGTCATCTCTCTCACTGTCTGAATATTCTGAAGCAGGATGACTAATAACTCATCCCCCAGTGCCTGATCGTCCTCCTACCTCCTCCTGTATTTGACGTAAGTGGAGGGGTTCCTGTCCTCCACGGGCCCTAAAGCGTCCTCCAGGTCCAGAGAGGCGTTCTCTCTCCTCAGCCGCTCTCGGTGGCTGTGCCGGTGGCCTCCTGCGCTGCCGCTACTTCCGCTCACCAGGCCGTCGCTGTAGCCCTTCCTCTTGGCCTTCAGCCGCAGCTTGTTCCGGTAGTGCTCGATATCAGACTTCTGCTTCAGCCCCATGTTCACCTGCAGACACACAGAGCCAGCACTAATGGAGAGCTCAGCCAAAAACGCTAACACGGCTAGAAATGGACAGAATCCACAAAAGCATTTTCAGGCCAATCAATCCATTTGAGGTCGCTTGTAGCTGGAAAGCAGCAGTGCACTTTGGTGCCAGCCTCATCGAGGCAGCTGCCCATGAGACGGGATTGGGCTTGTGTAAACGGATTTGGTTGTTTCTGACAAGCGCTTGATGCAGGTATAAATGAATCAACTTTAAAAAGCCAAACCCCTAAGGTCAGGCAGCCCTGTTACCATGGCGACAATAGGCTAAAGCTTTAATCGGGCCTCAAATTTGGAACTGAACACATAGAGAGCCTGAAAACAAGCTGCCCCAGTTTGACCCGTCTCACAGCAGAAAAAAACCTGTCGGCACCTTCCTCCCACCGTCTGATGTGTAATCAGAAGGTTTTTTTTCTTGTCTGACTGTCCCTTTAAATGGTTTCCACTCCTACTTTACATTCCTAATAATAGTGTTGCATAACGCTTGTGTGGTGTTGGGTATGTGGGACCCATTTTCAATGTTTACCAAAAGAAAAAATGATGCGATTTATTATTATTTCAAACCCAGATTCCTTGGCCTTTGCTTATTTTCTGTGAAGCACATATAAAATAACCCATGTTCAGCGTCTTCACTCTGTTCACCCCCCTATACATTTATATTACACATGTGGTGTTGGGGTGAACCCGCGGGGAATAAAAGTGTGGAGGTGCTGTGTCCTTCACTCTGTTCTCCTCCTACATGGCCTGCTGTTAGTGTGTGTGTCTGTGTGTTTGTGTATGTGTGCATGTGTGTGAGGGTGGGCAACGTGGACAGGCTGCTGACTGGCTCCACCAATCAATGCCTTTGAACAACATGCCAAAAGCTTTTACTCGCTTTACATAAGCTTTACACGGGCTAATGTGTTTTATCAAGCTGACCTTGTAGACCTCAGTGGACGTTGAGTGACTATAGCTTGGCAGCTTAAAAACAAAATGATAAAATTAGGGTGGAAGAATAGAACGAAAATAAGAAAATAAAAAAAAATAAAACAGGACTAGGAAAAAAAAATCACCAAAAGTTCACTGAAGAAAGGGGGGTGGGCTACGAGAAATTTGAACATGGTTGGAATAGTGTAGTGAGTAACACTGGTGCCCTCCATGCACTAGACTGAGGTTTGATTCTCCTAACACTACATTTGCTGTTTTGCCTCCTCTGTAACAAAATAAACTTTTAAGTCACACTGAAAAAAGTGTCTGAAATCACCACAAATGTAAGATATCTGAACCTGACCAACCTCCGAAAAAAGCCTGGGTGGTACCTGAAAATAATTAGTAAAACCGTTTCTTGTTAAAAATTCAGGATTATCGGTTATATCGATCTCCCCAGCCCCCTGCAAATGCTAACAAATCTGCTGAACCTTAGACTTCAATTTATATGCTATCCTTAGTTTATATGCTCTTAACATTAACTGGTTTAATGTGAATCTAGAATAACAATCACATATAAAATAATAAAATATTTAATAACTGTTTTAAAACTCACAAGCATGTGTGAGGTTCTGCTGGTGTGGGTTGATGTGTAGTGAACTGAGGCACATGAAAGTATGCTAGTAGCTCTTGTGGTCTTCAGGCTGCTAAACAGGCACAACTGAGTTACAAAGCCACATTAACACGCTTTCCATAATTAAAAAAAGGTATCTTCCATTGTCATAGCAGAGGTGCTCAGGCTATATGGAAACTGCTCACAATTTTCTTCAGATGGTGTGGTGCACTTTGGGAAACCCACAGCAGAGACCGTGGAAAATATGCTGTAGCCTAACAGCTGATTAACGTCCTGTAATAATCTATAGTTTTAATAGTAAAAGGGAATAAAACTTTACATGTATATTAAATGCATTACCCAACAAGGTGACTAGCACCTTTGAAGCATCATCATCAGATTACCTGTCAATCATTTTCAATATCTGATTACATTGCCCTATTGTCCAGGCTACGACATGAACAGTTTAGTCCTGTTGGGTTTGGATAAATATTTCATGCTCTACAGCAGGCCTACCTCTCCGTTGAGCATGACAGAGTCTTGGCTGTGATTGGACGAGTCGGGGTAGGAGTAGTTGAGGGGTGCGGCCATGGGCTTGATGGTGATGAGCCTCAGGGAGCCGGTCAGAGAGTCGTAATGCTCTGCAGAGACAAATAACACTTACTCACAGCCAGAACCAAGCTGACCACAGCACAAATGCCATGAAGGCTGAGGGTAAAAGGTCAGCAGCACAGACCTCATCAGATGCTGCCCGAAACCTATTATCCCCTGACAGAACAAAGAGTAAAACACAGTAGGCAGTTATACATCCGACTTTTCCCCTTATCTTCACAACTGTACAGCACGTGTGGACCACCAACTCCCTTCGGGAGCTTCTCTTGGCAGCTATGTTCGCTGGAACACATCCAGCTGCTGTTTTGACAGTAATATTCTGTATATTTTGATATATTTACTTCTTAGATGGCCCGTATGGGGAATGACAGAGTGACAATGCCCCGAATAAAGCTTTTATAAGACCTGAACATCTATAAAGCCTTACATAAGCAGATGACAAAGGGCATCAATTCCTTAAAGCAGTGATACGTATTCACTGCTTTGGCTTTTGCCCAGAATCAGGCATTTATCATCATTGCCAGTAGCATTTTTGAAGCAATAGTTCCATGAGTAATCATGTTTATACAATTTTCATCTAAGCCCAAATATAGTTTGATCAGACAAGACATGTTTAAGTCTATGAGAGCTACGAGCTACGAGACTAATGTAGCTAACAAGTATTGAAAGCTTACAGATCACTAATTAGCATTGTGCACATTAACTACATGCTGTAATCCCACACTTGTCTCAAATCGTGTCAAGTTGTTAAGTACTTTCAAATAGACTTGCTTATGTGGTTTCTGACACTGTATGATACTGTTATCTATAAAAACTGACAAAGTATGGAGGAAATTATGCTTCTAGATGGCTGCTATTACTGTTTTTAACTATGCAATGCACTTGTTTTGAGTTTATGCATCAGAAACCACATAAACAATCTACTTGAAATTATTCAAAGGGGCATTCAGGATTAAATCTACAGGTAGCTATCGCCTATAGGCTAATATGCTATTTGTCATGTTATTTGGAGTACTCTGTAGCTCAGTATTGTATCCCTCAGCCTGGTTTGGCAGAAGTCAGGATTTTATGTTGATTTTACATTTTTGGTCATCAATTTTCTCTCAATATAATACCCAGAATGCAAATACATCACACAATCATTGAGAATCCCTGTGGGGTCACCAGCCAACTGCTAACTGCTAGCCTATCCGCTGATCTACAGGCTAATCCATACAACCAAGCTAGCATTAGTGCACCTCGGTCATTAAACAAAATCTTGAAGGAAATAATAATAATTTTATCTTTATAGTCCACAAAATGGACACAAGAGACAATTTTCTTAGCATTTTAGGCAGAGAAAAGAAGCCAAATGGTGGTAAAGTAGCTGGACAGCTAGCTACCTTCCTAACTTAATTTTTTAGCTGGTTGTCCTCATCTGAAAACATTTCTGTGGTTTGTGTAATCTGGTCTCTCCTCTGTGAAGATGGTCTGAAGGCCGTTGCTACAGTCATAAGATATTCAGCTTCCTAGCAGTAATGTTAGCTAAGCTATCTGTCTTGCTTATGCATTTACCAGCTAATGATAAAAAGATATTTCTGTATCCCTCAGCCTTGTCAGTTTGAAAGAAGTCACGATTTTATGTTGATTTTACATTTTTGGTCATCAATTTTCTCTCACTACAATACCCAGAATTCAAATACATCACACAATCATTGGGAATCCCTGTGGTGACCAGCCAACTGCTAACCGCTAGCCTATCCGCTGATCTACAAGCTAATCCATACAGCCAAGCTAGCATTAGTGCACCTCGGTCATTGAACAAAATCCTGAAGGAAACAGTAATTTTATCTTTATAGTGTCCACAAAATGAACACGGGAGACAATTTTTCTTTATTTTAGGCAGGGAAAAAAAGGCAAACTGAGGTAATGTAACTCAATAGCTAGTTAGTTACCTTGCTAACTTTATTTTTTAGCTGGTTGTTCTCATCTGGCAGGTCATTTCTGTCATATGGAGTAATGAAGTCTCTCCTCTATGTGAGTGATTTGAAGGCCGTTGCTACAGTCACAAGATATTTAGCATCGTAGCAGTAACATTAGCATCTGCCTTTCTTCTGCAGTCCAGCTAATGATAAAAAAGACACTGTAAAACAGCTCTGTCCTAAAAGTCCACCCCCAAAAGCAGTTGCAGTTTTTCAAAGGTTCCTATGGATCCCTGCTGGTGACATGGCCACGGCTTAGTAAAGTGTGGCAATGAGATAACTGGCGTGAGAATGAGATCATGCCTTACTAAGCCATGGCCATGCATTCGGATCTCGTTCCCATGCTTTACTAAGTTGTGGCCATGCATTAGGATCTCGTTACCACGCCTTACTAAGTCATGGCCACAACTTAATTATCTTGTTCCCACGCCTTACTAAGTTGTGGCCACGCATTATTTTTATTTATACAGGATGTCACCAGCGGAGCACCGTAGGTTCCTCCCGCATTCAAGGTACATCATGAAAAAGTTTTTTTCTTATCTTTAAATGAAAAATCTCACTGTAGAGACTCTGCAGAACTGCTGTAGGAGGTGAGTAGGCAAGTTTACAATGGATGCAGCAATGGTTACATTTTTCATTCTGATCAGAGCTTCCTTTCAGCAACTTGATTCAATTTTATGCAAGTGTGTGAAGATTTAGGTGTGCAAGTTTGCACAGTGCTAACTGGTGGCTGCATAATCCAGGTAACTTCATGTGTTGGCTGATCAAGTACATTTGAGGAAGCAGAAAACATGCTTGTACAATGCATTGTGATGTGGGCTTAAATCCACTTTATAAAGCTAGTGGATTATTTCGGAAAAGACACTGTGTCTCCCCCCCTCCCACATTCCATATCTGTCCATCTGTCCGTCTGTCTGTCTCTCACCATTCCTTGTGTGAGTCTCCTCCTTGTTGTTCTTTTGGCCTGTAGTTCTGTGCGCCGTGGAGCTCCTTCCCGTGTTCAGCTTCCCAGAGCCGTCGCTCGAAACCGAGCCGTCCTCGCTTGGCAACTTGCTGCGGGTAACCATGGAAACAGAGGCGCCAGTTAGCGGGCAGCGTGCGGAGAGGGGGAGGAGGGGAGGGTGCAGGGTTAGCGGCTGGCTGGCACAGCCCTCCGGCCCTGCTGTTAACCTGGGCTAATCCGCACCACATCACGAAACACCCAGCACACACCTGTCACTTAAAACAAAAACACAGTTCCCGTCTGGGTACTCGGACAATGACTTGACCCTCAGATACATAAACACGGGTGCTGACAATACGTGGCTGATGAAGATCATGAAATCTGAGAAACAAAATAACGGCCCTGATTCATGCGCTAATGATATCCGTGGAAATGTTTCGATGAGTGTCCAAATGGCTCGCTTCCACAAGGAGAACGATGCCGGGTCTGTCACAGAAACATGATTCAGAAGAAGTGGCCTCTAATTGGTTGCCGGGTGAGACGGGTTTAGTTGAGTAAAACAGTGGAGCTGAAGAGCTCAAGGGAATGAAACAGAAGCACAGAACGCATGATATGCACATTAGAGTAAATCTGCTAATCTCTCAGGCGTGCGTGCCAACAGTCCGCCAGCCGCGGTACACTCACTCTGCCGGACACTGAACACGGACACACGCTCTTATATCACGCACATACACACTCAGACAGGCGCACACACACATGCACACTCTCACACTCACAGAATACAAACACTTGTGCGCACACACACACATACACACGCTGTATAACACAGGCAGACGGGGGGAGTGAACACACACTCTCACATCTCTCCAGGAGCCCTCAGGCACACTGAATCATATATGACTCTGTAGCCAGGAGCATCTCTCTCTCTCTCTCTCTCTCTCTCTCTCTCTCTCTCTCTCTCTCTCTCTCTCTCTCTCTCTCTCTCTCTCTCTCTCTCTCTCTCTCTCTCTCTCTCGCCTGTTTCCCTTTTTATACCCCTCTTGCTCTCTCTCGCTTTATGCTCCCTGTCTAGTCCTCTTTCTCCTCTGCCTTCTCTCCCTGTCTCTCTCTCTATTCCTCTTTCTCCTCTCCATTTTCTGTCTTTCCCCTTCTATTTCTCCTTTCCCTCTCCCTCTCTTTCTTTTTTCCTCTATTTCTTCCTCCTCTTTCTCTCTTCTCTCTCTTTCCCCTTCTATTTCTTTTTCCTCTCACTTTCTTCCTCTATTTCTTCCTCCTCTTTGTCCTTTCTCTCTCTTTTTCCCCCTCTATTCCTCCTTTTTTCTCTCACTCTCTTTCTTTCTTCCTCCTCTTTCTCCCTTTTTTCTGTCTTTCCCTTCTATTTCTCTTTTTCCTCTCACTCTTTCTTTCCCCCTCTATTTCTTTCTCCTCTTTCTCGCTTCTCTTTCCCCTTCTATTTCTCTTTTTCCTCTTATTCTTTCCTCCTCTATTTCTTCCTCCTTTTTCTCCCTTCTCTGTCTTTCCCCCTCTACTCCTTTTCTTCTCACTCTCTTTCTTTTCCCCTCTATTTCTTCCTCTTCTTTCTCCATTCTCTCTGTCTTTCCCCCTCTATTTCCCTTTTTCCTCTCCATTTTTTCTCTATCCCCTTGAGGCAAAGTATCCAGAAGTAACATATCCAGTCTTCGCTGCAAAAAAATCATTTCTTGTCAGTGAAATTATCTTAAATATGGTTGATTTAAGCTCAAGATAAGATTATTTAACTTCTTTAACAGAGGATTATCTCACTATTTTGGGAGATATATTTACTCATTTTAAGCTAAGTTATCTGTCAATACAATAAGATTAACTTAACTTAAAACTTAAAACAAGTAAAAATGTCCAGAAATAAGATAAATAAGCTTATAAAAAGCGTAAGGATTATAGATAATGTAAGGATTATAGATATCAGATATATTGACTGAATTTAAGATAATGTCACTTAACAAGATATCATTTTTGCAGTTTTCTCTTTCTTTTCCCCATTTATCCCTTTTTCCCTCTCCATTCTCTCTCCACCTCTTCCCGACAATCCTCTTTCTCCCTTTCCTTTCTTTCTCTGCCACTCAATTCCTCTTCCTTTTATCTCTCTCTCTCTCTCATCTCTCTCTCACACACACACACACTCTTTTCCCCTCCATTCCTCTTTCTTCCTTTTCTATTTATTTTTTCCCTCTCTATTCCTCTTTTTTCCTCTTCCTTCTCTCTTTTTGCCCCCTTTTCCTCTCTCTCTCCCTTTTTTCTCTCATTACCATTCTTACCCCTCTTTTCCTTGTTCTTCTTCTCCTCTTTTGTTCTTTCTTTCTTTCTAGTCCTTTTCTTCCTCTCCTATCTTTTTCTCTCTTTGCTCCTTCTCCCTTCTTTCTCTCTGCCCAGTCTATTCTTCTTCCTTTTATCGCTCTCTCCCTCTCTTCCCACTCCATTCCTTTCTTCCTCCTCTTTTCTTTCTTTTCCTGTTTTTTTCTGTCTCTATTCCTCTTTCCCCCTCTCTTTACCATTCTTACCCCTCTTTTCCTTTCTTTATTTCTTTCTTCTCTCTAGTCCTTTCTTCCCCTCCTATCTTTTTCTCTCTCTCTCTTTGCTCCTTCTCCTTTCTTTCTCTCTCTCTCTCTGCCCACTCTATTCTTCTTCCTTTTATTGCTCTCTCTCTCCCTCTCTCACTCTCTTCCTTTTCATTCCTTTCCTCCTCTCCTTTAGTTTCTTTTCCTGTTTTTTCCCTTCTATTCCTCTTTTCCCTCTCTTTATCATTTTTTCTCCTATTTTCCTCTTCCTTCCTCTCCCCTTTTTTTCTTTCTTTTTTTCTTTCACCTCTCTAGTCCTCTTTCTTCCTCTCCTATCTTTTTCTCTCTTTGCTCCTTCTCCCTTCTTTCTCTCTGCCCACTCTATTTGTCTTTCTCACTCTCACCCTCTCTTCCCCTTCATTCCTTTCTTCCTCCCTTTTTCTTCCATTTCCTGTTTTTTCTCTCTCTATTTCTCTTTCTTGTGTACCATTCTTCCTCCCCTTTTCTGTGTTTGTTTGTTTGTTTCTTTCTTTCTTGTACTCTGTCTTTGTCTCCTATCTTTCTCTCTCTCTGTCATTCTTACATCCTCTATTCTTCTTTTCTTTCTTTTCTTTCTTTCTTTCTTTCTTTCTTTCTTTCTTTCTTTCTTATGCTATTCATGTTTTTCCTACTGCCTCTTCTCTTTGTTCCTCTCCCTCCCTCCCTCCTTCCCTCCCTCCCTTCCCTCTCTGTCAGTTTTTTATCCCTTTAAATACTCATGCCCTGTTCTTATGTGCATTCTACTTTTGCTTTTCCAAATAATTGTCTTTGCCAAGCCGTTCTCTTTTCTCCAGGCTCCTTCCCCTTTAATCGCTTCACTCGGGAGGGACAACAAAAGACAGCTCACGCTCCTACTGCTGGTCAGAAACACAGGGCATTTACACAAAGAGAGAAAGAGACAAAGAGAGAGAGAAGGAGCCAGAAAAGGAGAGAAACACAAAGGCAGAATTAAAGCTGTAAACAGGGAGGTAGAGGGAGAAGAAGATACAGGAACAGAGAGAGATGGTGGGGAGTACAGAAACAGAAAGACTGAAGCAGCGGGCGCACAGCACTATCTTGAATGCCAGCGCTCAGGGCTGGTGCCCCTGGCATCACCAGCAAAGACGGTCTCCACAGGCACCATTCAATCCACAGGTATTCAGACATAAGTCATTATACATTATGCACCAGCTGCTGTTGCATGTTGGTGTAGGGATGGGCATTTCAGTCAAATCTGACGTTTGAATTTGTAAGGCTACTGCACACCGGACGTGTCTGGTGGATACCATTCAGCATCTTACTATTACTGTACTACAGCATATTAAACAGAGACCAAATTCCATAATAGGATACACATAGCTTGAGATTTACGCTGAGGAAGGCAGCCAAGCAACAGTCTTTAATTTGAACAGACAAATAATAAGTTTTAATCTTAGCTAATGTTATTATATTAGTCCAGAGATCGGCAACCCAAATGTTAAGAAGAGCCAGTGTGTCCTTTCAAAAAAATCAAACCACCTTGAGAGCATTTTATGTCCATTTTGCCATCTTGGCTGTAAATATGTCTCAGTATGTCCTAATGTCCTAGTATGGGCTAAAAATATAATATACATACATATAATACAGACTTATTTTGCTCTGCTTTAAGCTTCAGCTCAGCTATAGCCTCTTTCTCACATCTCCGGCAGGAAAGTTTTCCTCAAAAGTAGAACAGTTTCTTGCAAAATGTGCCTCCACTTCAGCTTTTCATTCTGCAAGATCTCATATAATTTCCCCGTTCCACCTTAAATGGTGCCTGAGGCACTAGAATGAAACTGCTCTGCCATTTAAGGTGGAATGAGAAAATTCAAATGAGAAGCTGGCAAACGGGAAGCTGACTACAGCTTTGCGACTTTTTAGTGTTTGACAGTTTCTCGTTGCAGATTAAACGTATCAGGAAACCAGCTGGAGTGATTATAAATGCAAATAAGTCCATTCGTCTCTCCAAATTATCAATGTTCATCTTAAATCTTTCTCTTTGTTTTTCATTAACGACTAGCTAGGCTTGATTGTTGTCTGCGCTGCTATAGTGACCAGCAGTCTGCGCGCAAACCTTCAGGGTTAAAGGGTGAATTAGCCGTTATACATTAACTCCAGCATTTAAGACCATTTATTGTTAAACTGTGTTGAACGATCAGCAGAGATTTATTTTACTTTTTATTTTTACCTACAAATCTAATTCTGCTGTGGAGCCACAACAGGGCATTTATGCATGTTGCTGACCCCACATCATAACCTTGTACCTTTAACTCTCAACATCCAGTTTGTGAAGAATTGGCGACAAGATCGGTAAATGACTCTCAAAGTTTTGTTCCATTAAATGTACATGAGTAGAGTGTAAAACGAGCTTGAGCTTCTTGTTTATTGCTGCTTTTCTTCAATGGTTTTTGTCAGGAGTACAGTAGTCTATAGCTGGCTGCAGTAGTCTTTCTGTTTCCTTCCAGACAAGAAACGCTGACCAAAACACACAGGCTCTCATGCGCTCTAAAAGTTCAGATATCTCATGGTTCCTAAATATCAGAAAGTATAACATTAGTGAGAAGCTAATATGCATTTTCAAAATCCTAATTTAATATTCATTTTCATTTCATCTTTCATTACTATTACAGTTTTTTACAATTTCTGACTCATTCCAAGTTTCCAGAGTTTGTTTATTTAGTTTTGCACAGGAGCTCTGAGGCTAATGTAGCTAAGTATGTTGTATAGCTCAAACCAGTAATAGTCATGGAAACAGGAAGGTGTTTTAAGTTATACATTTTTAAGTTATATTCCAATGCAAAACTAAAGAAACAAACATCTACTAAAGACACCAAACATGTCTTGGCTGAAAGACTACAGCTGGGGTAAATCTGATGTACTGCTTGAAACGCGCATACAGTCATATACAAAAGTTTGGGCGCCCTGGTCAAATGATGTTTTTCTTGATCTTCTAAGTGAAAATAAGTTACCACATCCTCTACTTCCTCACATTTTAGTGCATAATTACTGTTTATTTGCTGTATTTAACATATTAGAAGAAAAATAAACATAGAAAGTGGCCTGTGCAAAAGTTCTAGCACTATTTTATGTTCTTTTATATGTTAATAAATAGAAATTGCGCACTAAAAGGTCATTTTTATTTTCACTTAGAAAATCAACAAAACATGTAATTTGAGCATTCAAGTCTTTATATACGATTGTACACGTTGAATATCCCCAGCAGCCATTAGGTGAAGGACAATTACAGGGCCAGGCTGGAGCCTTATTAGATAAGCAGACAGCAGCAGCACACTGATGGTGCAGTGAGTGATAATTCCAGACACAGGCACTGCATTGAAGGAGAGCAGAACAATAGCCTGTCTTAAACAGCACAGGCTGTACAGGGGAGAAGTCAGAGACAGGAGCAGGAGCGTGGCAAGAATCAGAAAGGTTCATTCAAAGTTCATTCAAAGTCAGTGTTACTTAAAACACGGCCAGCTGGGTTCAACAGAAACCACAGCAAATGGGTTTTATCTTATTACAGTTAACATGACCAGTATAACATCACCGTCAGAAGAAAACCTCACATCTCCAAAATGAAACACTTCTTAAACTTTAATGTAAGATAAAGCAACAGAATGTTAGTCCAAGTAATTCTGAATAATTTCTGTTTGTCTATTCTTTCCAAAATATTCACACAACGTAAATTTGAATTCTCAATTTATGTAAAAAATAATAAAATGCTAAAAATGGAGATGCAAGGTTTTGAAGAAGTTCTTCAAAGAAATCTGCAGGGATGTTTTTCCATGCCTCAAAAGTTCAGTCTTGGAAGTTGGTTGCATTTTCTGCCTCTCGTGATCCAAATAATCTCAAACGCATTTTACCGCACATTGTATGTACTGCACATTATATTTTATGGTTGTTTTAGTATATTTTATTATATATCTTTACTTCTTCTGTTTATGTGTCTGTATAATAGCGTACAGCAGTACGTTTGCTCTTGTTTTGCTCTTTACCGTACTTTGTGTTGCTGTAATAGACGACTTTCCCTCTGGGATTCATAACATGGTCTGTCTGTCTGTCTGTCTGTCTGTCTGTCTGTCTATCTATCTATCTATCTATCTATCTATCTTTCTTTGGTGTCTACCACACCTTCCAGGGGGTTGTTAGGAGTCCCATTTTCTCTGTAAATTTTAATCATTAAACTAATCAATAAAGTCATGTTTTTCCTTATTTTTCTCTGACTTTCTTCTTCCTTAAGCAAGTGTATTATCTTATATCTAATCTCCTCAATATCTCTATTAATAGCTGTTTTGACTGGAAATTAAATGAAGGACAGTCTCTGTGAGTAATGATTAATCTAAAATTACGACACGCTTTTACTTTTGACAGCAATACTCATGATGATTAAGGGTTAAAACCTACTAGAAAACCTACTAGAAAGAAGTTACTGTTATGAATTTTCAAAAGCTTTCTTTTTCATTTTAATTAAAAGTATAAAAACCATCAAACTCAAACGCTTTCATGCTCAAGCACTGGTTCAAGTACTAAAATATAAACTGATAAAATGTGATCACCATGGCCGCTTCAGCTGCCTACGTGCAGAGAGAAGAACCAGTTTACTTATACATAGGGCACCAAGGCATGTGTGGAGGTCTAGGCAAGTCAAAATCTGGCCCTAGAGCACCAAACAGGCTCTAAAGCCCAGAGGCCTGAAAACAGCTCACTCTCACATTTCCTACCCATGTGACGCAAAGGCATAAATATGACATCATGGCTCAGGGAGTATGAGATGTGGCCTGGTGCGTTTTTTATGACTTTGACAGGCCTCACACACTGCATTCTGTAACTGATTAATTTTCCTCCAGCGTTCCATTTGCATTTTTATGCACAGGGCGGAGAAACCGGCTGAGTTTTTTTTGCTTTGTGTAGCTAAAATGGAACTAAAGCAAATCTCCTCCAGGATCCCAGAAGGAGGAAGTGCAATAATCAGTGATGCATTAAAAGGGGGAAATTATCGCTGGAGAAATAAACAGTTCAACACGACCCGCTGACGTCCTCAAACATCTCGTGATTCCTGAGCACCATGGAAAGCTGTTTTTGAACTGGATTCTAAATATACAGCCAGACAGCAATTACTTTGTTCTCCAGCTCATGGCAGGGAAGCTCTTTGTTCACTGCATTTCTCTCCCTGAGTGCCTTTTCTTCACCCACTTCCCTGGTGCGTTGCATCATGACTAAGAGGTCAATCGTGAGTGATACATGAAACTCAGATCAGCAGATGTTCTAGATTCACTATTATTTGTGATATTTCAATGCAAGGATGTGCCATAAGTTTTGTACAGGCCACATTTTTGGTTCAATTCACAAAATAAACAGTAATTGTGTATTAAAATGTGCAGAAGTGTGTTCTCTGTAGAAGATGTGTTAGAAAATCAACAAACATCATTTGACCAGGAAGCCCAAACTTTTGCCTTTAACTGTAAACCGGAAATCATTATCTAATAATTTTCTAATACTAGTTAATAATTATATACCTGTTAGTTATGGATTAATAAGTGCTACAATTTTAATTATTAACCATTCACTTAGTGACATACAAATAATTTAAGTGCTGTAAATGCTTTTCATAAATACTTTATATTTAAGTGTAATAAGTAGCACCATATGTTCTTATAGATACACTTTAAGATACGCTCACAACTTTATAATAGAGGTCCAATTAATGCTTATTAATGTTCAAAAAGTACACATTAAGCACTTAATAATGATTAGCTAAGCATTAAAATGAAAGTTAAGTATTTATGTAGCAAGTTAAGTAAAAACTACTTAATAATTTTAAACAGGTCGTAGACAATTACTATGCAGTTATACATAATGATTATGAAGTGTTTGGTAACACTTTATTTTAGAGCTACTATTATTTTTTATGTAAAAAAGTGACGCACTGAATTTACTCCATTAAATGTGTATATTATTTCTACAAGAATAAAGAACCCTGCATTGACAGTGTTTACTTCTGAAAAAGGTAGCGCTTTTGTAATATATTTTATTATACACATTTCAATCAGGTAAATTCAATGCAGCACTTTTTTTTCCAATATATGGCATTTTGTTAGTGTGTTGTTTTGATCCACTGTAAATAGTACAAACCTGCGATGCATATCTGTAGTGGACTGCGGCCTTTTGGAGGCGGTGCCGTCCTGTAGCACGCCCTTGTCCTGTGTGAGAGGGGCGTCCCGTACCGGAAGAGACAGGACCAGAGTCTCTTTAGTGACAGCAAGAGCCTCCTCACCCTGCTGACCCATGTGCTGCTTAGCATAGTCAAACCCCTGAACCGGCTGGAAGAGAAGAGAAGAGAAGAGAAGAGAAGAGAAGAGAAGAGAAGAGAAAGGAGCAGAGAAGAGAAGAGAAGAGAAGAGAAGAGAAGAGAAGAGAAGAGAAGAGGATAGACGAGAAGAGAAGAGAAAGGAGCAGAGAAGAGAAGAGAAGAGAGGAGAAGAGAAAGGAGAAGAGAAGAGAAGAGAAGAGAAAGGAGCAGAGACGAGAAGAGAAGAGAAGAGAAGAGAAAGGAGCAGAGAAGAGAAGAGAAGAGAAGAGAAGAGAAGAGGATAGACGAGAAGAGAAGAGAAGAGAAAGGAGGAGAGAAGAGAAGAGAAGAGAGGAGAAGAGAAAGGAGAAGAGAAGAGAAGAGCAGAGAAGAGAAGAGAAGAGAAGAGAAGAGAAGAGAAAGGAGCAGAGAAGAGAAGAGAAGAGAAAGGAGCAGAGACGAGAAGAGAAGAGAAGAGAAGAGAAGAGAAAGGAGCAGAGAAGAGAAGAGAAGAGAAGAGAAAGGAGCAGAGAAGAGAAGAGAAGAGAAGAGAAGGGAGCAGAGAAGAGAAGAGAAGAGAAGAGAAAGGAGCAGAGAAGAGAAGAGAAGGGAGCAGAGAAGAGAAGAGAAGGGAGCAGAGACGAGAAGAGAAGAGAAGAGAAAGGAGGAGAGAAGAGAAGAGAAGAGAAGAGAAGAGAAGAGAAGAGAAGAGAAGAGCATATGGGTTATGTAAGGTTTTCTATGAGATATAATAAGCACCTTTGGAGAGCTGGCATTTCATTTCAATCAGCAACGGTCTGTTGGCCACTGTGATTTATTAATGCACTCCGACTGCTCTCAGTCTCACTGTATTTCACCCAGCCCATATATGACGCACCACCTTGCCATGAGATATTTAATGCAGAAAAGCTAAGGAAGCTCGTGGAACCTCTTCTTATGATGAATTATGGATCGCTCTCCAGCCGAGAGAGAACACACGGATATCAGAGCGTCTCTCTGTTTTTAAGCAGATGCACATATATGTTGTATGGCATCACTTTGAGGATGCAAAGAGGGAAACTATAAACACGCCAGAGGATTTAATAATTCAGGACTTTTGCACTTTGCCACGCATGCTGCTGTCAAGCACATCTTACAGAGGAATCAATAAAGATCTACCTTTTCCACACCTCTGTGCTGCAAGGGAGATGGGTCTAAATTTAGACAGGGTCGAGCTAATCTACAGAGACAGCCTTCTCCATTAAGGAACACTAACGCTGGGATTTCTGCTAGACACTGACCTTGGGCTGCACATGTTCTCTGCCATTCTAATGTAATTCGCATGTACTGTGTACAACTATAATTCACTTGGGGCACATCTATTCACTGGAATTTCATTAGAGCAACCTTGACTTTCCATTTGGGGAAAGTCTGTAACAGTCCATGAACTCCTTATGATCTTAGTTCAGTCTCAGAGATATACATGTATATATGTAAACTAAGCGTGGATGAAACAGCAAAAACGTCACGGTACTTTAAGATTGTTTTAACAATACACAATATGCATAGGGCCTTGACTGATATGAGAACTTATATATATATATATATACACACCGATCAGGCATAACATTATGACCACCTCCTTGTTTCTACGCTCAATGTCCATTTTATCAGCTCCACTTACTATATAGGTGCACTTTGTAGTTCTACAGTTACAGACTGTAGTCCATCTGTTTCTCTGCATACTTTGTTAGCCCCCTTTTACCCTGTTCTTCAGTGGTCAGGACCACCATGGACCCTCACAGAGCAGGTACTATTTGGGTGGTGGATCATTCTCAGCACTGCAGTAACACTGATGGGGTGGTGGTGTGTTAGTGTGTGTTGCGCTGGTCTGAGTGGATCAGACACAGCAGTGCTGCTGGAGTTTTTAAACACCTCAGTGTCACTGTTGGACTGAGAATAGTCCACCAACCAAAAATATCCAGCCAACAGCGTCCTGTGGGCAGCGTCCTGTGACCACAGATGAAGGACTAGAGGGTGACCAACACAAACTGTGCAGCAGCAGATGAGCTATCGTCTCTGACTTTACATCTACAAGGTGGACTGACAAGCTGGAAGTGTCTAATAGACCAGCAATAGACTCTAGAGTGGACAGTGAGTGGACACAGGGTTTAAAAACACCAGCAGCACTGCTGTGTCTGATCCACTCGTACCAGCACAACATACACTAACACACCACCACCACGTCAGTGTTTCTGCAGCGCTGAAAATAATCCACCCAAATAGTACTTGCTCTGTGAGGGTCCATGGGGGTCCTGACCACTGAAGAACAGGGTAAAAGGGGGATAACAAAGTATGCAGAGAAACAGATGGACTACAGTCTGCAATTGTAGAACTACAAAGTGCACCTATATAGTAAGTGCAGCTGATAAAATGGACAATGAGCTTAGAAACAAAGGGGTGGTCATAATGTTATGCCTGATCGGTGTATATGCACTGCTGTATGTAAAAATTTGAATACTGATTAAATTGCAATTTTTCTGCATATTTTAGTGCACAATTTCTGTTTATTTATTCTGTTTTAACCTATTGGAAACATATTTGAACAATGGAAAAACAAAATATAAAATGTGCCATAACTTTTGCACAGGTTACATTATTTGCTTTATTTTTTCCCCCAATATGTTAAATTCAGCAAATAAACAGTAATTGTGCATTAAAATGTGCAGAAGTGCTCTTTGTGGAGGATGTGTTAATTTATTGTCATGTAGAAAATCAACAAAACGTCATTTAGCCAGGGATGCCAAAACTTTTGCACAGGACTGCAGACACATCCACTGCCTTTATCCACTGCACATGCGTTCCACTGTACAAACAGGCCAAGAAAGCATGGACTGCACAAACATATTGGCAGGTAGAAGGTAACAGCACACATGCAGACAGACATGCAATTGATCCAGAGCTTTGGGCTGTCGCGCTCTAAAAGAAGCATTCATCTCCAGCAGTCCACTGCTGTCACCCACACTGACTTCTTCCCGTCTCGCTGCGCTGTCCTGGTTTCAGCTCAACGGCTCCTTTATTCAGCACGTCCACACATTTCCTCTAACGCTGCTGTGTTTGCATAGGCGGCTCTGTGGCGAAACTGGAACGCTTCTCCGACGGCGGATCCGCAAATGAATACGCGCCAGCGAGCCGGGAACCTGAGAGCAAACCTTAATAAGATTGAGCACTGAGGGTTTTCCTGATTGGAAAAGCAGACGGAGAGGGCGCGAGATCAAAGCCGAGGCCTCGATTAGCATAATTACAAATGAATTGCACATTTCATCAGCTGCCGTTCAGAATCGATGTAGATACCTTTGAGCTAATATCTATTCAGCACTTATCGCTGCTGTCCTGAGAAAGCCTGCAGTTTGCAAAACTTAGAGGAAGAGTTGAGGAATTAGTGTTCTGTTGTTTTAGTATGCAGTGCTGTGCAAAAGTCTGGTAAAATGATATGTGAGACTCTTTATCTAGACAGTAAAAAAACATTATTTACTGTATTTACAGTTACCATCCAATACATAGTTTGTCTAATCAATCCTTTACTAAATTAAACCAGGTGCTGCGGATGGAACGGAACAAATCCAAATCTATTCTGAAGTGTAGTGAGAAGTCAGGAACCAGACCTGTGTTCTTCTAACTGTATTCATCTAACTGACATTATCAATAACTGTTCATAAAAACAAAACATTCTTGCTTTTTTTACTGTATTTTTAATTTTTACACTGTAAAAATGAGCATTCTAGCTTAAAAACGTACCAGGCTGCCTTTAAATTATGACCTAACTGAATTTCAATGAATAAGTTAACAAAATGTAAGACACCAATTATTACCAACGTTCAATTAACTCAAATTTAAGGGTCGGTTACTTACATTAAAAGTAAGTACTTTTATGTTACGTACTATTTTAAAACTACAAATCTTTTTTACAGCATATATTTATTTAGTAGCAGCTTTACTCTTAGTTTCTCCTTCAAAATCCTTTGAGAAAGTGCACCACACAGCTCAGGTTGTGTTAAAATACCTGAATTATTCATATCAGACCACTAGAATGTTTTAGAGTCACTACATAATGTTTAAACAGCTTAAAATGCTGCACAACAGAGCTGGACTATGTTGTTGCACCTAATCAAAACAGGTTAGAAATGATAAAGAGAGGCAAACAGCAAACAAAAGAACTACGGCAGATCTGTCCTAACAGTGTGACCTTGCACACACGAACAAAATAAATATTTAAAATTAATAACATATTCTGAATTGAGTTATTTTGACAACAGCTGCAATTTCTTATTCATTTGCTTTCATTCATTTTCTAGCGTTTTGTAAACCTTGCACAATCTGCCAACAATGGTTATGAAATTTATCTGTGGGCAGCATGGATTAGTCAATTAACCTGCAACAGTCTGAATATTTTGCTCAATGCAGTAAATAATGGGCGTTTATTGGATTTGATTGTTTTGCCACAGGACAGTATTGTTGTTGAGCATTGTGATCCTACACTCAGTACTGGTATTGTTATTGTGGATAGAGATGTGCACAAGCGCTCAAATAGGTAAGCGCGGCTGTATCACTAATTAGGCTAACTTCTGTAGCCGATGTTAACTAGGTCCAGAAAGAATAAAAATATATCCATCTGACAAATAGAACATTGTCCACCAATTAGTTAGAACATAAGGAGTTAGAACGTTAGAAAATATCTTCCGCAGTGCTCATCAGCATCAAACACAATACTCATTAGCTCTGTTAGCTCATTTTCTCCTCCATTATTAATTCAACATGAACACCTACTGATCTGCTTTGACTGTTTTTGAATAATAAAATAAAATCTGCACGCTGCTATATCTTTTTGCAACAGTCCTGTCACATAAAAAAGCACATTTTACATTTTTTGAAAGGTTATTTTTTCATTTTTAATAATGATTTTTTAATTGAATTTTTTAATTAATGATTAATTTCTTCTCTTTTAAAATCTATTGTTTTAATTCATGTTTTAATGTCCAGTCTCCTTTCTTTTCCATTACTTTTTACATTTTAAACTGAATTATCTTTATATTTTCTCAGTTTTATGACCTTTGAATGACCACGGTGTATGAAAGGTGCTATATAAATAAACTTGCCTTGCCTTGCTTTGACCTACATTGTTTTCTGTTATATTTTATTTTTTCCTTGTTTCACCTTCCCTGCGGTACAATTTGACCAGGGTGCCCAAACTTTTGCACGCTTCCGTATCCCTAATCGTGACAGCCATACTTGGGAGCTGAATAAGGTTGGAACACTACTGCAGTGTGAAGGAGCTCCACGACTGGCAGGTAAGAACATTCAGACTATAGAGTGGAATATGACAATGTGAATGTCATAGTAATAACAGCTTCTGCTGTTAATCCTCGCCTCTGGCCCTGCGCCTTGGCCAGGTGCAGTGGGAATACTAAGTTGAGCTCGCTTTCCTTCCAATTTCACCCCCTGTCCACACGGTTCTGATAATCAATCACCCTGATCGATCACCTTCCTCTATACAGCCATTGATTTCTCGCAAGAGAGAAGGCTAGACCACAACCATGCAGCCAAACACCATGCACACATGCACAACACCACAGCGGGCAGTACCTGGTGATGGTAGCTTCCATCTCTCCGATATGAGGTCTGGACAAAGAGGGGGATTCAAGACAAACTTCTCTTACAAGACAGTACATCTCTCACAAAGACATGGTGCCTGTGCTCTGTGCATTAGGACAGGACTAAGGAGAAGACAGTGTGGCTTGTGTAATCATAATGCTGAGTGATAGCAGTGAAGAACACTCCATGACTCCATCAGTCTAGCTTTATTATGTCCATCAAGTTTAATCTGCTCTAATTTCCTTACAAAGCATTTGTAGGGTGGAGCACAGTAAACTCAACTGATCTAAGCAATAATAACTGTTAAAGAAATAGTTTGGCAAAATTCAGTTCACGCAATTTTCACCCTTTTCCCAAATGTAGTCAACCAGTCTGAAATGTCTGAAGTTTTCTTCTTTAGTTTTGTACTGGGGCTACAAGGCTAATAAAGCTAACAAATAACAAACAGCCATCCCTGCTGAAAAAAACAGCACAGACCAGCACGAATGCTGATCTAAGCTGATTTGTGCTGGTCTATGTTGGCCTATTGCTGGTCTGGTGCTGGTTTAGCTGGTTACCCAGTACTCAAAACACAACATATCACTACTGTCGGAACAAAACCTCATATCTCCATTTTTGTCATTTTTCAGTTTTTGACATAATTTGAAAACACTTGTTGTCCTTTACATTGTGTATAAATTTCATGATGAATGGACCAAAAGAAATGGCACAAAATTACTTGGACAAAAAGTCTGGTTCCATTGACTTACATTAAAAGCAAAGAATGTTTTTTCCTTCTCCTGTAAAGTTACCATTTTGGAAATATGAGGTTTTGCTCCAACAGCAACAATATGCTGGTTTTACTAGTGACCAGCTATGCTAGTCAATGCTAGTTTTACTAGCAGGGATAAGCTTACCACCATGCTAACTGCGTGCCTTATTAATCACACATCAAGTTGAGTAATCTCAAATAGACTTTCTTATGTAATTTCTGACATTGTTTGACACACTATTATCTAGAAAAATGGGCAAAAGTACTCTGTATAGCTAAAAACAGTAGCAGCACTAGCAAAGCGGTGCACATACACATGTATACGCTGTATTCCCGTCTCTGAGGAGACTAACTTTCTGTGGAAGCATCTAAACTTGGCCAGAGATACATTTGTTTCTGTATATTTTGTGCTTGACTTTGATTTGAGCATGACTACAGACATATTTGTCTAACCACAAACTAACACTTGCCTTTTACAGTTGGCCAGGCCAGTTTTGAGGTCCACTGTCCAGTTGATCTTGCTCTCAATAGAACATACTGTTAGCAGTACGTGGATGGCACATAAGCAAAGTTAGGCTACAATTTACAGGGTTCAGGAATAAAAACGCAACTCATTATTTCCCAGTACTTCTCTAGTATGCATTAATTAGCCTACAGAAGAAGCAGTGAATCAACAGCTGGTTGTTTTCTCAGGGTTATATGGTTACAATGCCAGAAAAAATAGCAGCTTGAAAAAGGATATGTACAGCACTCGGTACACGGCAGAAACAACAGAATGGGGGACATGATAAAGACATACTAGATGCTTATGTGTTTATGTGTTTTACAGTCATCCTTTTCCCTGCTATCGTGCTCTACAATCACTGATAAAATTAATGTAATGCTAACTAGCTAACAACTAGCTAACATATGGCAGTAGTGTAGGAATGAAGTGAACACATCACATCTACACCAATGACAACAGTCACTAGTCCAACAAATCAGTTTTGATATTATTATATGATTTTATTCTTATTCTTTAATTATTTTGATGAGTTTCCAATTTTTACTTTTGAAATATAAATGAATGCACTTGCAAAATGATTAAACTTTTATTTTTACAGCATTATATTGGCTAATGTACTGTCCCAAGTTCACACTGGCAACCTTTTTTTACACAAAACTTTTAGCCCGTAATTAGATCCTTTAGTTATAAAGAACACGATGAAATGGTGGGTGTTCAGCGTGTGGATGGATGCACACAACCATGATTTTGAATTCTGTCTGTACAGTATGTCATACAGTGTCAGAAACTGCACGAAACAACTTGGTTTGAGGCGAGGATGTGCTGATTTAGACACGCAGTTGCAGTATTCAAATGCGGGGTACAAGTTCCATTACTTGGTAGCTCTGTTATCCTTGCAGCTCCAGTCAGAGACGTTATGAAGAAGAAGGCTGCTGTTGAAATTTGAATGAGAAAGTTTGTAATGCTCAACAGGGCTCCTGTTTGTGGAGAAAGTCTCGCCTTTGCAAAACACCCCCTCGTTGTTGAAATCTGCCCAAACGCAGTAGTTAGAACAACCTGAAATGTTTTTGTGCATTATTGATCCAAACACTACAAATTATTTACGAGGTTTTTGTCTGATTTTACCTGTGATTTCAAGTATGTTTGGCCTTCAGTTGTGTGTATTTTGGTTTATCTCCATTCAAAAAGATGGGAGCCTGGTCTAATATGACTGGAAGCAACTGCCGGTGGCGCTGCAAAGATGGCTGCCGAGTGAACAGAAGACTTTTTCTGGTGTAAAACTAAAGCAGCAAACTTCAGAAATGCCATGGCCGATAAACTGTACTTGGCGCAAAGCAGGAAAAACTGTAAATTTGATTTTCGCCAAACTGTTCCTCCCTAACACACTAATTGTTTAACTCATTGCTTAGCACACAAGGAGAAGACAGGAGCTAAAAGGAGAAGACAGGAGCTAAAAGGAGAAGATTGGAGCCAAAAGGAGGAGACTGGAAGTAAAAGGAAAGGACTGGAGCTAAAAGGAGAAAACTGCAGCTAAAAGGAGAAGACTGGAGCTAAAAGGAGAGGACTGGAGGTAAAAGGAGAGGACAGGAGCTAAAAGGAGAAAACTGCAGCTAAAAGGAGAGGACTGGAGGTAAAAGGAGAGGACCACAGCTAAAAGGAGAAGACTGGAGCTAAAAGGAGAAAACTGAAGCTAAAAGGAGAGGACTGGAGCTAAAAGGAGAGAATTGGAGTTAAAGGAGAACACTGTAGCTACAGGGAGAAAACTGCGGCTAAAGGAGAAGACTGGAGCTAAAGGGAGAAGACTGCAGCTAAAAGGAGAAGACTGGAGCTAAAAGGAGAGGACTGGAGCTAAAAGGAGAGGACTGGAGCTAAAAGGAGAAAACTGCAGCTAAAAGGAAAGGACTGGAGGTTAAAGGAGAGGACTGGAGGTAAAAGGAGAGGACTGGAGGTAAAAGGAGAGGACTGCAGCTAAAGGAGAAGACTGGAGCTAAAGGGAGAAGACTGCAGCTAAAAGGAGAGGACTGGAGCAAAAGGGAGAAGACTGCAGCTAAAAGGAGAAGATGGAGCTAAAAGGAGAAGATTGGGCAGCTCTTACTAAACTCAAGGTACTTTTTAGATAGTAATCTTTGCTCATTCCTAATGGACATAATAAAGCACGGTGGCTTGTGCCTGTGCTGTTTTAAGGTGGAGTGTACCTTTGTGCGTGGGTGGAAGCCACGGAAGGCGCTGGTCTTGAAGACGGTGCGGTTCCTCCGGCATATGATAGCAACTGCCATGACAACTACGACCATCACCAATGAGACCGGCGTGAGGACCGCCAAGATCCAGAGGTTACTGGGTACACTCTTCACTACAGCTGCTCACACACACACAGAAACACAGCACATACAAATCAATCCACTTATTCATAATGTTTGCACATAATTACTACCACATCCATCCCCTTTCACTCTCTCTCTCACACACATACACACATACACATACACGTGCACACACACACTAATCCAGGCTCCCTCTGTCTGGAGCTGTCTCTGGTTAGCTCATAATGAGCTGAAACAGTGAAAAAAACAGTTTGTGCTGTAGCTCTTTATCTGGGAGATTAGGCCCTCCCCAGTGGGGCTCTGTTTGTGTTTGGTATGAGTTTAATTTGACAAGGCTGGAGCTTTGCAGAGCTCAGAGAGCAGCGCGGGGCTGGACGCCCCAGCCGAAAGCCTGGCCACTGCTGCTTCCTCCGATCCTCACACTACTGCATTAGAGTAAAGCTTCAACTCAGAAGAGCCTGGGGCGAGTTTCTATAGTTAGTGTGTTAGCGTGGGTCTAACGTATTAGCTTGTGGCTAGAGTGACACATTGGCCACTAAAGAATAGAGTTTTTTTTCAAAGATTGTAATTTTATAATGCTGAACACTCCAATAAACTGAAAATAGAAACATTATTATTCTAACATGAGGCAGATTTTCAGCCACTTCCTATTTTTTTCTGTATTGAAAAATGTACTGGATTGGGACACCACTGTATCGAATCGTATGAATCATATTATCATGAATTTTGTGAATCATTTCAGCCCTTCTGTCCAGTCAATCACAAATACATACCGATGGCAGCTGGTCAAAACAAGACAATATGGTCAATACAGTACAAACATGGTCTAACATCTGTCAATAAATAAGATTTTTACATTTTGACATTTATTATTATTATTATTATTATTATTATTGTTAGGACATGGGTCTATAAATGAAAAATGAAAATGCTGACTTAGCTTGGCTTAATAATGAAACACACTCATACACACACATACATACTATATATATTTTACACATACTGTATATACATATCGCTGCTGTTGGAACAACACCTTGTATCTCCATTTTTATTGTTTTTCAGTTTTTGACATAATTTGAAAATACCTGTTGTCCTTTACATTGTGTGCAAAATTCATGAAGAATGGACTAAAAGAAACAGCCCAAAATGACTTGGGAAAAAGTCCGGTTCCATTGACTTACATTAAAAGTAAAGCAGGTTTTTTCCTTCTCCTGTAAAGTTATTATTTTGCAGATACAAGGTTTTCTTCCGACAAAAGTGATATATATGTATATATATGTATATACATTTATATGAAAAAATCAGATCAAAGCCTTTCATGTACACCTTTTCTTGCCGTTACATAACATTCTGACTTCATTTTTTACTCCCTATTCACAAATGTATTATTTAAAACATTTCTGTATATTAAAACATTTATAATACTTTATAACGTTATCATCATTATATATGTGCATAATTGCGCAGTACAGCAGAAGACGATTCAACCCAAAAGCAGAAACACTGGTATGAAAGGTAAACCAATAAGCTGGCGTACGTTCTGCTTGGATCTGGACGAAGTAGCCCAGGGTGAGGGCCATGGTCTGAGAGTCCACCATGTTCAGGGTCTTTGCTGCAGATGTTCCAGCTATAGGAGCTCCATCCACCTGCACGTAGTACGTCATCTCTGCTGGGTTCTTAGGACCTGGCAGCCGCCGAATACTGACCATCTACAACACAAACATAGAGTCTTACGGCTCTGTGGTGCTGATTTAGACGATTATGAGATCTAAGTCATTTTGAGATGGTTGAAGAAACTACAGAGAGGAGAATTGGAGGAAATACTAGTACTGTGGTTATATTAATATATCATGGCCTGCATTATTTTGACCAAAAAAATATTTTTTATTGTATTGCTCAAACTCACAGTAAAAAATATCATAACAGGTTTGAAGGCTCATTTGCATACAGCTGTCTGCAATATCAGTATTGCAAAGGTCAGTATCACAATAACAATAAAAAACGATATATTGTACAGCCCTTATGTATACATGTAACAACCAAAGAAAGTGTGACAGAGGAGTCTACCTGCACAGTGTATCGACCAACAGTGGTGGCTCGTCTGAAGCGCAGGCCGCGTCGACCAGCAAGCATAAAGAGCTCAGCCAGACGCTGCTCCATCAGACTAGCAAAACTCTGATAACTGCCTTCTAGAGAGGAACTGTCAACATCCTGGATAACTGCAGAGAGCGAGAGAGAGAGAGAGAGAGAGAGAGAGAGATGAAGGAGAAAAAGAAAATACAGGAAAAAAGTGAGAGAGCGAGAGAGCAGCAAAGAGAGAGAGATCGAAGGAAAAATGGGGACAAAGCGAATTATCCTTCATTCACTCTAGAGCAAAAACTGCAATTACAGCAGGGCTGACCTTGGTAGAGGGGGTTCATACATCCTGACAGAGAGAGAGAGAGAGAGAGAGAGAGAGAGAGAGAAAGAGAGAGAGAGAGAGAGAGAGAGAGAGAGAGCACATGCAGGAGAGGGACATTCAATTTACCCTTCTCAAATTACTCAGTCTCACTGGGTGTGTAGGTTACGCCTCTGACATCTGTCATGTTATACTTTTTTAAAGTGGTGATTAAATCTGCCCAAATCATTACTTAAGAATGTATTAGAACACTAATCACTTCAAACTCATTTTCAATCTTACACTCTCCCCTATTTTACATATCCCCGCCCATGAGTTACCAAGCCAAGTGACCACTAATTCACTGCTTGCTTGTTTTGTATTTACAGTTTTGCAGTGATTACTAAAGCAGTGAGCCCAAGAAGCCACATGTTACAGTGATTTAGGAATGACCTGAAGTGTAACACACAATTCTTACACCAAGTAATGTAGTTCACTAACAGTAGGCTATGGTTGCCAAGCATAATAACAGTCAAATAGAATTTTAAAAACAGCACAATATTAAAACCTTGGATTCATACAGAATACACCATTAAATCTAAGCATACCGTGATCCTGACAATTATGCTGACAATTTATTGCCATATAAATCATTTCAATTAAAAGTGTGTCTTTCATTGTTTGCAACTATAAAAGTATAATCTTAAAGTGGCTTAACTTGCTGACTAGCTTCATTGCTTCCCAGCTGTCGAAACTTAGATGCTTCCAACTGACAACAACCACAGCTTAAGCTTAAGCAAATATTACTCACTGCCACCCTCTAATGGTGTTATTAACAAACATCAAATAAACAAATATCACTCACTGCCGCCCTCTAAAGGTGTTAACATCAAAAAAAACAAACATCACTCACTGCCGCCCTCTAAAGGTGGTATTAACAGACATCAAATAAACAGACATCACTCACTGCCGCCCTCTAAAGGTGGTATTGACATCAAATAAATAAACATCACTCACTGCCGCCCTCTAAAGGTCATATTGACATCAAATAAACAAACATCACTCACCGCCGCCCTCTAAAGGTGTTATTAACAAACATCAAATAAACAAACATCACTCACTGCCGCCCTCTAAAGGTGTTATTAACATAGCATCAAATAAACAAACATCACTCACCGTCGCCCTCTAAAGGTGGTATTAACAGACATCAACTAAACAAACATTACTCACCGCCGTGAGTTATGTGACTCGGTGACTCTGACATAAGCTTAGTGAAATCAGAATTTAGCACCAATCAATAATGCATCAATACTTATCAGAGGTAAAATACTGTTTCATCCTATAAGCAAATATCAGCCTCTTTGTACATTATCTATCTATAATCTCAAAGATTAGCTGTAATTTACCTGTGATTACCCAGTACTCCCTGGTGGCGACCGAGGTGTTCAGGTTGTGGTACTCGAGGGCTGACAGAGGAAGAGAGAAGCAGAGAGAGAGGACATGCTTACTCAAGGAGAACAACCCTAAGACTGATGATGCTCTTTTCCTCTTTGTTCACATTTCCATAAGTACCTTGACACAAACGCCACCGGCCGGAAAAAGCGAAGGCTGAGGTGAAAAGATGAACCTGCTTTTTCTCAAGAAAGTTTTCAGTAATTCTGTAGATGTTATAACAGCAATGTCATGAAGCCATAAATAGCAGTGCTGCAGTAAGCACAATGTCAGCGCTTATTACTGTGTTTCTGTGAATTTAAGAATTGTTCTCACCTCACTAAGTAAGCACAGCTAAGCTTGGACTCTCAGACAGTAGTGAGAGCTTCTAGATGGCTATGAGGAGAAAAAATGCTCTTAAATACTTGTGGCCAGTTTTCCAGAGCAAGATCAGTCCTGAGGCTTAGGGTCAGGCTTCAGACTAAACCTCATTATAAATACCACAGGTTTTCATATGTAAATATTCACCTGTATTTGAGCCCAGTTAAGTCCAGAGTGTAGTTTATGTCTCAGGTTAAGTTTAGTACATTTTCATAGTTTTATTTTAATATGCATGTTTCTGCACTGGTCCTTTTATTGCTGTTACAATGCCCTACAATTTCCTTCAATGAATACAGTTTGTTTCATTCCTTCTTTCTATCTTTTTTCCCCTTGTATAATCTCACTCTTTTGTTTCATTAAAAAAAATAAACTTTATAATAACAGGCCCTAATAAAGAGCAGCTTAATTATTATCTGTATTTACATAGTTTGTTAACGATTATTAATAATTATATAATCGTTACATGTGCATTAATAAATGCTACCATTTGAATTATTACACATTTACTTAGTGACATAAAAATAACTCAAATTTACAAAAACCTACAGATTAACAACTTTTTAATTATTTATTTACTTGCTACTCATAAAAAATTTGCAATTAAACTTGAAATAGTAATCACTTATGGCATTTATACAATTTATAAACATTAGAAAAATTACTGAGTAATTAATTATTTTAAATGATTTATCAAGTAATTACATATTATCTATATATTACACTATCAGGCTCATTGTATTATTCCACCAATCACAACTGTGACCATTCACATATTAAAATATCCTGTTGGCATAATATAAATGTGGCAGAACAGTCTTATTAAAAAAAATAGACTCTTTAAAGGGTTTATGTAGCAGATATGGTACGTCTATCTGTGTTATAAGTTATATTATACTTATTATAATTTTACTAACTTCCTTTTGAAGAAATGCAAAGCAGTCATGTCACCATTTACACTATAAAACTACAAAATTTTGGTGGTACTAAAGGTTCATCTATGCATAAGAAACCACCTTATAAATGCTTAATGTAGTGGAACTTACGTTCAGCAATGAGCATCGGGGGGAAGAAGAGGAAGTAGCCGACCAGTTCAGCGGTCAGCTGGTTAATGAGGCCACTAGCCATAGTGCCGTTCAGTGCCATACTGCCGTTCCACACTACATATACCAACGACACGGTCAGAGAGTTTCCCGTCTGAAAGGTGTTCAGAATCTGCACACACATACATAACACACAATAACAGACATGAAGATCATAGATAGGACACTTTAAAATAAGCCACTGGCTATACTCCGTTTTCAGCCAAACCATAAAATAACACATTTAGGCACCTCAACAGAAAGAGCCCCATAAGAGTCCTCCACTTTCTCCTGGGCTTCGGAGAACACGTTCTCCAAACGGTGCTCCATCATCTGGATGAAACTACAAGACTTGATGTTGTCTGTTGGACTCACAAACCTGAGAACTGATCCAGAATCATTAAAAGAAGCGTCAATGCAAATTTACAAACAGATCAAAGGTGATTAAAATTCAACAATGCCATTTATACAGCACAGATATCCAGGCCTAAAACGAAAGACGAGGTTGTGTAATATGACTAGTGGGATCTGACTAATCAGGTATCTGTATCAATTCCACAGACAACCTGGATTGACAGCTCATAGTCATGATGTTCACATAACCATTACACCACAGGAAAAACGACACACACTGCAGATTCTTACTGGATTAAAATCAATCCATAATTATTACTGCCAGACTGTAAAACTACACACACTGCAGATTCATATGGATTAAAATCGCTACACAATTATTACTGTCAGACTGTAAAAACTACACACACTGCCGATTCATACTGGATTAAAATCACTCCACAATTATTACCGTCAGACTGTAAAACTACACACACTGCAGATTCATACTGGATTAAAATCACTCCACAATTATTACCGTCAGACTGTAAAACTACACACACTGCAGATTCATACTGGATTAAAATCACTCCACAATTATTACCGTCAGACTGTAAAACTACACACACTGCAGATTCATACTGGATTAAAATCACAGATCCTGTCAATAATCGCTGACATTACAGAAACTATGGTCTCTAGGTAAAACTAATTATGCTTGAATAAGAATGATAGACACAAATTACATAAAATAACATATTTTAATCTTTCCATGCTCAACATATACAGTAGTAGGTCATTTGTCACAGTCCTCATTCTGCACTTAAGCTCAGGTCAGTCTCACCTGTTTTGAGCTGAAGGTGGATGCCAGGATTGGGCAGCCAAGTCGCTACGGGAACTGGAACGGCCAGGACCACCGGGGCATGCTGTCTGATGTCACTCAGGAGCTTGTCGAAGCCGTAGGCCGTCAGAGTCTCCACCACTGCAGCCGCCATGTACACCAGCTTCTCACTCACGACGTAATATCCCAGAGTTACATTGGACGGAGTGCAGACATCACGCTCCAGCTGAGAGAGAGGCAAGTGCTCATTGTTATGGAGTAGGAGTGTAAAAACGCAGCAGTGCATCATGGTGCATCAATCTGGAGGTGGTGATTCAGCTGAATTGATTTTGTAATGTTGGAATCAATTATAATAATATTCAATAATGAGCTCATTTTTGTGGCCAAAGTGAAATTCTCAGGGCCCAGTGTACTGAGCATTTTGTGGTAGCTTCAAGGGCAAATCAGGCACATTCTGCCCGCCCGTTATGCAAGAAACTGCTGCACGAGCTGAAGTGCGCAGTTCCTGGGCCATGTGTATCATAAAATGCAAAATGAGCTTCTCTTTTTTATACATATGTGGCTGATTAAACATTCTGCACATTTACTAAAGTTTGCGCAACTGACAGCGGTCAGTTTAGTGTTGATTTTACTCTGTATTTTAAAAACTCTCATAAAATGTTGGGCTGTATTACAGAAACGTACAGAAACATCTTTTTGTTTTAAGTTAAGACCTGACAGGTCTAGATAGGACTTTTGACAAGTTCGTATCACAGAAGCAAATCTTATCTTAATTTAGGAAACTTTTCTTACAGCATCTTCAGTCTCCAGTTAGGGAAATCTGAACTTACTTGATTGAAGACAACAAACAACTGTCATGTCTGTTACCTAGCAACCGACCATTCACGCACAGCTGAAACATAAACATGTAATCGGAATAATCAAGTTCGTTAGTCAGACAGCTAACGTTAGCTACTGTTACTGATCTAAAAAAGGGGCAAACAAACTGAAGTGTGATGAACTTGAAGTTAAGAATATTGTGTCAGTGTTTCGTGCTGTGTATCAGAGCGTCGCCGCTCTCAGTTTCAGTTTCAGTTTCCCATACACTTTAGCCGAGCGCACTAACGTTATTCCTCCTAGTAACAGCCACACGTTCAGCTCTGTCTCCTCATTATTCACCACCATCACTGTAATATTTAATCTGACCAGTTTTCATCAACATTAACACACAAAGGTAATAAGAGGTGTGGTGGAGCTTGTGTCTGCAGCATCTGGGGGTTTTAAAATGCTTGTTAGAAAAACTCATAAGTCAAAATGCCATTTGTGATGTAGATTAATGTAACGTCATTATGCCAGTTACAGTAAACTATGCTGCCTGTCACTGCATAAAACAATAGAAACAAACAGTTAAAACAGAAGTTAAGGCAGCCCTGAGGTTGCCTCAAAGTTAGGACAGTATTTAGGAGATTTAGTCTAGTTTGGCTGCTTCTATAAAACTGTTTTCTTATCTGGATGTTAATGGATAAGATGATGAACTTAAGACCTGTTCTTCTGTAATAGCTTCTGTCCCAAATTCAGTCCAAACTGAAGTTGTTATGGTGACTAAACAGCAAGATTTCACGGCTAAACAACAAGATTTCACGGTTAAGAAGTTTCTCAAGGCCCCAGATGCAGGTATGCAAGAAGATGCAGTTCAGAAGAGGCCGTGATGCGGCTGTTTTCTTAGCTGGAGTAAAATATGCCCCCTCTAAAATGTTTTGGTGGGAAAGATTAAAACCATTTATTAGCACCGCTATCTCTTCATCACTGAACTTTCATTTTCTGTTGTGTCTCCAGTTTGTTGTCGGCTCCATTATGGTACTGCCTCTGTTAAACTCTGAACTCAGAAGGGAGCAGTCAGTAGGCAGGGCTATCAAACTTTAATTTCAGGCGCATTATGAGCACATATTGGGGTCGCGTCAAGGTGCATTTTGCATTGGGCCTGTGCTGGTACATAAGTCTGGCCCTCAGTCTGAAAAAGCTGGTGTATTGCTACTGTTGTCTGTGTTCCGCTGCTGTGTAAACAGTTTACAAATAGGTCACATTCAATGTGTATAAAGCCAAAAAAATTCAGAAAAGTCAAATTCAGTTGAAATTCAAGATTTCACGATTCACTGAATTGTTTCCTAAATAATCACAGTCAAACCATTTGCATCTCTCTTACGCAGAATCCCAGGAGCTCAGTGATGCAGCCTGAGTTTAGATGGCTGGATGAATTTTTCACAGCATGCGTGATGAATGTATAATTTGCTAGAGCACGATTACGAAACAGGTCATCTCTCTCTTTTTAATCTGTGTGGCAGAGGGTTTGTTTACAACACTCCATGAAACTGTATCTCTGCTCAGAGAGTAAAAAGCGTTGAGTACATGATTTATCAGTTTATTGTTTTTAACACAGTGGGGGTCAGAGTCTCTCAAACGCTTTAGAGGGACCAGAGCTTCGAGTGGTTTAGTCTGTACTAACACAACAAACCATGTACTGTTTGAGGAGACGGGGTAAAGGCAAAGGGTAGAAACAGAGAGAAGGGGTAGAAGAGACAAGAAGAGAGGGAGAGACAGGAAGGGACAAAAGAGAGAACTGAAAAGAAAGAAAAGGGGGAAAAGAAAGAGAGATACAAAGAGACGTGGTAAGAGCAGGGATAGATAGAAAGAGGGGGAAAAATAAGAAGAGAGGAAGGGGAGAGAAAGAGAGGAGTGGAGAGCGAAAGAATTAAGGAGATAGCAGAGAAAGGAAAGAAGAAGGAAGCGGGCAATAGAGAGACATAAAGAGTAAGAGAAAAAGAGAGAAATGGAGAGAAAGAAGAGGAAAGGAAGGAAAGAGATAAAGGCAAAGGGTAGAAACAGAGAGATAAAAACATACATAGGAAAGAGGAGAAAGAGAGGGATGGAGAGAGGAGGCAGGGAGAAAAAGAGAGATGGAGAGAAAGAAGTGAAGAGAAAGGAAAAGAGGGTAGAATATGACAGGGAGAGAGGAGGAGAGAGAGAGAAAGGGATGAAAGAGAGACAGATGGAGTGAGTGAAAAAAACTGAAGAGAAAGAAAAGGATAGAGAGGGGAAAAAGAAAGAGACATACAAAAGGGGTAGAAGCAGGGATAGATAGAAAGAGGGAGAAAAAAGAAAAAGAGAGGAAGAGGAGGAGAGAAAGAGAGGGATGGACAGCAAAAGAATTAAAGAGAGAGAAGAGAAAGGAAAAAGAGCGAAGGGGCAATAGAGAGACAAAATGTAAGAAAAACTGAAATGGAGAGAAATAAGCGGAAAAGAGGGAAAGAAATAAAGGCAAGGGGTAGAAATAGAGAGACAGAAAAAGAGAGAGGAAAGGGTGGTAAAAAAAAAGGAGAGAGAGAGAGGGACGAAAGAGCGACAGATGGAGCGAGTAAAAAAACTGCAGATAAAGAAATAGATAGAGAGGGAGAAAAGAAAGAAAGAGAGATACAAATGGAAGGGGCAAAAGAGCAACAGAAGGAGCAAATGAAAGAACTGAAGAGAAATAAAAGGATAGAGAAGGGGGAAGAACGAGAGATACAAAAGGAAAGGGGTAGAAGCAAGGATAGATAGAAAGAGGGAGAAAAAAGAAAAAGAGGAAGAGGAGGAGAGAAAGAGAGGGATGGAGAGCAAAAGAATTAAAGAGAGAGGAGAGAAAGGAAAGAAGAGCGAAGGGGCAATAGAGAGACAAAAAGAGTAAGAGAAAAAGAGAAATGAAAGGAGAGAGAAGAAGAAAAGGAGGGAAAGGAAGATACATAAGAAAGGGGTAGAAACAGAAAAAGAGATAGAAGAGAAATTAGAAAAAGAAATAAGAGGGTGAAGAGAAAAAGATCCAGAAGGGGGAGTTAAAAACAGACAAAGATAGAAAAAGAGAGAGAGAGAGTGGGAGAGAGAGGGAGAGAGAGAGGGAGAGTGGGCGAGAGAGAGAGAGACAAACAGACAGCTCCAGCAGAAGAGTTCTCAGAGAGCAGACAGTACTAATTCTCCAGTTGAGTCACTGTGGTGGGTAGAACAGGCACCGACACTGTCTATACACGGTAATAATAACAACGTCTTCAGAGTCAGACTCATTCACCATTAAACAGCCCGTTTATCTCTTCACTCAGCATCCGGCAGATCACCACCGCTGACAGCTCTGAACAGATTCCACTGTTTAACCCTTACAAACTGCCTTATCACCACTAATAACAACAGCACGGCGTCATTCAATACGAACTGTTACCCATTAGCTCATGGAAACAAGCAGAGGAATTGTATTGAAGGTGCATCCAGTGGTCCAATCTCATTTCACCCCTTTCCCCTACCACTTAGCCCTACCCCTCTGTTTAGCGCATTCATGCCTAGGGGTAGGGTGTCCCGATTTTAGTTGAAATGAAGGGGTAGGGTGAAGTGTTAAGGCGAAATGGTCCTCCAAACTGAGGTTTTTCAGAGGCACACTCCAAACAGAGTGCTATGATAAAAAAGCAAAAAAAGCAAAGAAACCCACAAATGTGAGTATTTTATCCGTTAGAAATATATGATAAACATTGTATTATATTAATTTAATGTAGCTTTGATAGGCGGCATCATGGCGCAGTGGGTAGCGCTGTTGCCTCACAGAAAAGATAGCCTGGGTTCGATTCCCGGCTGGGTGACCAGGGTCATTTCTGTGTGGAGTTTGCCTGTTCTCCCTGTGTCTGTGTGGGTTTCCTCCCACAGTCCAAAAACATGCAGTCAGGCCAATTGGACATGCTAAAATTGCCCCTAGGTGTGAATGTGTATGTCTGTCTGTCTGCCCTGCGATGGACTGGTGACCTGCCCAATGATAGCTGGGATAGGCTCCAGCACCCCACTGTGACCCAGAAGAATAAGTGGTTTAGATGGTGTGTGTGTGTAGTTTTGATGTATTATGGTCGTTTTCTTCATAACAAGCATAAAAATCACTAGTAGTACACTGATGTCTCGGTAGCTAGCTAGCTACATTTCCCGTTCCACCTTAAATGGAGCAGCAGTTACATTCTGGTGTCTCAAGCGTCAGAACTGCTGCACCATTTAAGCTGGAATGGGAAAATTCGAACAAAAAGCTGACGAATAGCTGATTTCAGCTTCATATGACCGAAGAATTAAGGGTGGGCGACAATAAATAATTGTCCCCCCACTTTGAAGGCATATGATGTCCTAAACGTAACTAAAGCCCTTCAGCGAGGAGCTGAACTTTACCCTCCTCTGCTGTCACTGCAGACTGGCAGGGTCGCCTACAGAGCAGCGCTAGTAGCTGTTAATGAAGTAATGATCTTCTTTATTTGAGGGTCCCATTTCATAGGGGAAGATTTCAACCACTACCCTTTGTAACTCAGTTCCAAAGGGCACTCGAAAGGTGACACTCGAAAACAAGGGGTAGGGGAAAAAATAAGAAATGGGATTGGGCCCAAGTATCTCAAAAATGGCAACTACAGGAGGTAAGTTCCCTTTTTGACAGCCAGTTGTTGTTGCTAGGTTACAAGCAAATAAGGTGGAGTGAGACTTAAAAAGATTTGTCCGCCATTATAGGCAAACGTTGGCACTCATAGAATGCCTCTCAGCCAATCATATTGTGAAGTGTGGACTAATTGTGGTATAATTGCTAGTAGTAAGCACTGAAATATGCTGTCTTTCATGTGTTTACTTACCCTGCTGTGAGCTTCAGGTTTAAATAAAGACTAATAAAAATCAGCCAAAAGATCAGATTTTGGCGACTATTAACAAATATTTTCTTTTGAATATTTCTTAACAATGTCTGTGTATTTTGCCTTGTCTGTTTGGCATGCTACATGTCATACATCTGCCCTCACCAAGGCAAATCTCTCATATGTATAACATAATTTAAAAAAAGGTGGTTCTTATTGAGATGATCCAGTCAGTGTAGTGTAATGGAATTCATAATGAAAGCTAATCTGAAAAATGTGAGAGGAGAAGACACTGGGTCTGTACTGCAGCCTCACATAAGACCAGCCATTCCCTACTGCTTCCAGAGTGCTACACTTTCCTCACACAATGATACAAACACTTCCCACACTGCCGCCTACAAACCGCCCACCACTCTTTCCACTGTGAAACTACAATTCCCAAGATGCAAGGGCTGATAAAAATCCAAGCGCTTATCGGACAGACAACACTTGAAGCGCTATCCAGACAACTGTTGGCTGTGTAAGAGGCTGCTATATTTGAAAGGGAGGGATCGTGAGCAGCATATTTTGTTCACAGTTGAATAAAGAGGGCTGCTTTTATAAAATTGTGATCAAATTTAATAATTGATCATTTAATATAATAAAATATCCCAATGTTCAAGTAGTAATTTCTATAAAGAACTGTCTGGCCAAGCAATGTAGTCAGCTAACAAGCTAAGTAGGCTATAGTTGCCAGGCAACATCATTTTTTGTTTGTCAGTAAGTTTTATACTGGGCATTAATACAGGATTGAGTTGAGGGTGCTGAGCATTTTAAAAGGACACTGAATGTGGCCAATCAGATTTTAGAACTTCAACTATTTTAAAATACAATATACCTTTTAATTAGTGAATTTCATTATTTTAAGTTGCACCCATTGCCGAAACAGCTTGTTTAATCTCCATAAAAAGCAATGGGATGCTCTGGAGCAGAGTACCATGACCTGGCTAGAAGGGTACAAAGCCCCCCAGCACTGGACTGTGGAGCAGTGGAACCATTAGTGATGGAGCTCCATTCAGTACCTTTGGGATTGTGGCATTTGTGATCCAGAACTAATCATCCAACATCAGTACCTGACCTCACTAATGCTCTTGTGGCTGCAATCAGATCCTCACAGCAATGTTCCACTATCTATTGTAAAGCCTTTCCAGATGACTAGAGGCTGTTAGTGCAGCAAAGGGGGCAAATTCCCCATTAACACCCTTGATTTTAGAAACAATGTTGGATAAGCAGATGTCTACAAACTTTTGGCCATATAATGTATGCTCCACACAGTTTCCAATAGCAACACAACTGTTAGATTATTTTTGATATTTATTTAGAGGATTCGTGCTCCTCAGGGGAGACAGCGAGGCAAGGCAATTTGGTTCATTATCCGGTACGTATAGGCTACAGTGATGCCCACCTGTATGCGGACACTGGAGTCATTGAAGGCCCTCTGAAGCGCCAGAGTCAGGCCCTTCGATAAGCTCTGCCTCATCCCGCTTTTCCAGACGATTCCTCTTCATCTGGATGGACAGAACTGGGGGAGGAGAAAGCACACACACACACACACATGCATACAGCGAGATGAGATGCTGCTGTTTCATCAAGCGCCCCGAGCATCACAGTGCTCAAGGCAAAAATCCACAGCTAAAATCCATCTAAGTATATATAAATGTAATGTGTACATATGCTTTTTTGGCATGTAAAGAAAGGGAGCGTCTACAGAAGGTGCATAGTTCTATACCTCATTTCTCTCAGCCCTGAGAAGGTACATACTGGAGCTACACTCTCAGAAAAACTGAACAAACGTTGTCACTGTGGTAATACCCTCAAGGGTACGTCTACAGTGCCTGTAGTCAGGGAACATAATTGCAACCAGTTGTCAAGTTCTAAAAAAATTCAGGGGCATGCTGGGTTCAACCAATAACCAGCAAAACTGCTATCATCAGTTTGTATCAGGGTCAATCATTTCCCCCTTTCAGAATCTGAGCTATGTTGTGGTATCTGGCAAACGCTCAGCTATCTAACAGCCATCTTCTGTCTTAAAGAAAGCTGCACTGTCAGAATTAAAGGTACTAAACTGTCACTGTGGCAGGACCCCTCTTGTCACTGGGGTGGTACCCTCAAGGGTACATCTCAGTACCTTTAGTCAGGGAACATAATTGTACAATATTCCATTGAAATTATATTCTCTAAGTTGAATTGTCTCCACACACCCCGTCTCGTCTCCAGGCTTTTTATTTTATTGTTCTGTTTTAAAACCTTCGGTTATGAAAATACGAATTTTTCACCTGGAAAAACTTATTTAAGGTACACAGTTGGACCTTAAAATCACTGTTGTACTTTTGAGGGCACATTTACATTGTTTGTACCTTGATAAACAAAAAATGTACCAGCACAGAACCTTTATTTAGTGTATAAGACATGAGCTACTCGGTGCTGTTCACTATATGGAATGCTAGATTATTTATTGGGGCCTCTGGACATGTTAGTTCTTTAATTATCATTTTGTACCCTTTAACACGCAATTACCCACAACATTCAGAAAATCAGGCATGATAACACATCACAGCAATGTTAGCAACACTTCTGGCATATGGAGGACCAGATTTGCCAAAATGAAAAATAAATAAAATTAAAAATAAATTAGTTAGTAAATTAATATATGAAGTAGAATTGCAAAGAATAATGTTGATAAATCTATAAATAAATAAATATATATAACAATTAATATTTTAATAATTAAAAACTTATATAAATTAATATGTCTGCATTTATTTATATGTCTATTTAGTAATTTCCCCTTCTCACTATTTTTTGTATTTATTTTTTTTGTTATTTATGTTTCTTTATTATGCTTCAGTCAATGATGTCACAGCGTCTTAATATTGCTATTAGTTGATCGATGTCAGACTCTGTAGATCGATTGTACATGTCTTGCTCTCTCAGTGGTAACTAAGGACAAGACATTACAATAATGGCTGCTTACAGCAGGAGACAGTCAGAGATCTGAGAGTCTCGGCTGATCTGGCTGAAAATGCAGGTCTGGATTATTTACTCTTTCGTGGGGAGGCTGTGGGGACAGTTTGCTCCATTTTGCTGCCTCTGCTGATACAGAGGTCGACCAGTAGTGTTCAGAACTCTGGAGGAGGTGGTTCATCGTTTTTTTCAAATTTCAATTTGGCAAATTTCAGATCACTCAGACATTTGGACACACTTCTCACTGCTGCCTGTGGAAGCCATCGAGAGTTATTTATCGGCAGATTTGTCTGTCCGTGCAGTTCTTTATGAAGTTGGTAAAAGGACAGTTTAAACAGCTCTTCTCCTCTTGGTCTTGATTGCTAAGCCTGAACGTGAAAAACACGCCCCCTCATTATCATATGAACAAAGAAATACCGAAATAAATAAATGAATTAATGAAAAAATAAATAAATGAACTGATGAATAAATAAATAAATAAATGAATACATGAATCAATGAATAAAGCGAACAATTGTTAAAAATATAGATATGGAAAAAAATATAAAAATGGCATTAATAAAACAAAATAAATAATACAGAAATAAATAAATTGAGAAATATATAACTGCAGAAAAAGGAAACGTGTATAATTACAATCACAATAAGCAAAACATACTTTATTTTATTTTCTTTATTTATTGATTAATTTACTGAGCCATTTATTTTTTAATTTTATTTATTTTTCAATTTGGCAAATCTGGTCCTCCATACTGGCAGTGATATGCCACTATGTTAGCTTAGCAATTCTCCTTCTGGAAGTGCAGTGGGCAGTGCTGCTTTTTATTTCATTTGTATCTTTTTATTTCAAGTATTAAGATGATCCCTGGAGATTATAAACTCTCATGCTTGTTATACCTATTTTTCTTATTAAACATAATCCACAGATCTATTTTCAGTGTGCCCTACGACCCACGGCATTACCAGGCCTGAAAAAAACTCAAAAAGCTCAAAAGCCACCCACCTGAAGCTGAAACCTCATAATTTTCTCCTTTGGTTGCATTTTCAAACTAGCCCAATTTCGGTGTGAAAACTGTAAACCTGGCAACCCTGATGGTGGGTGTGCGTACTGTACCAAACAACTAATGAAAAGAGAAAGTGCCTGATTCTACATAACCACCTCGCGCGGGTCATTCTCCATTTGGAGGGGAAACCATGTCACAAGATGCTTAAAATATTTGGCACAGCTCCAAAAGTCGGCTGACCTAAGATTAAATAATACTTTTCCCTTACAATTTCTCTGATTTTTCTTTTTGTATCCTGTTTTATGGTAAAACAGCTTGTCACAAAACCACTTTTCAACATTTGAGAAATCATTTTTAATATAAAACAATATTTTTAGGAGGTTTAACTAAGGAACTTGTATAAAACAGATTCATGTTTACTTTTTATATCATTAACGTTAAACTACATTAAAAAAATATGTATTTTCTAAAAAAAATCATTTGCCAGATATTTTGGTCACTGCTGTTATCAGGATGTTACATTTTAACACAGTATTTTCCGCTCTATTAAACTGCTTCTTTGGGTCGAGGCTCATCAGAGAGGAAGCACTTTAAGGCATGAGAGGACGAGTCACACTCGCTCACTATATTTCATTAATTCATTCATAATTTTGTTTATCAGGCAGCTCATAACTTCTATGTGTCACTGGTATTATGCACTTTAATGGCTGGGTAATTAAAATTTTGTCAAAATAATGCCGTATATCATTTTTATTACTGGTTTTAAATAGCTGCAGAAGGTCACCTGACCACCAATAAGTCATCCAGTTTCACAAAATCCTCAGTTTTAACCAGAAGTCACTGGAGTCACCGTCACTGGTGTTACACCACATTCATACAACACCAGTGACTGTAAATGTGTGGAATTAAGCTCTCCTTTTTGCATATATGATAACAGGAGATGTTAATGGACATAGTAAGATTATTTAGTTTTGGGATGAAATAAACTGATTTTTTTAAAAAACGTACCCACCTGAATTCCCACTCCAAATGGAGAATGACCCGTGTGCTCTGCTCTGATCATTACTTGTTCGGTCTTGGACAGTCAATCCTCTCACATCCTCCCACCAAAGATTGCACCATATTTCATTGCAGTTACATATTTTTAAGTTGGATTGACTCCGTACACCCCATCGTGACTCCAGGCTTTTTATTTTTCTACTTAAAAAAAGTTATGAAAGAGTACAAATATGGCTCGATCCCCGAGAAAGTGTACCTTTAAAACACATTTAAGGTATCCAATTGGACCTTAAGACCAATGTTGTATTTTTGAGGAAACGTTTACATTGTTTGTCTCTTGGGGGACTAATATTTACCCGGACAATACTCTTTTTTTTCAGTGTAGGGATGCAGACTGATATCAAAACCATGTCAGCAACTACAAAAATAACTGCAGTATTTCTCCATAATGCTAATCCAGAAAAATGTCACTTTTATATTTTGTAAATGTTTTTGTATGTTTATGTACATGAAAAATACCAGATTTCAGCTTCAATCTTCTGTATATTAGGCAGGATTAATTAGTCGGAATGGACCTTTATCAAGGTCCTTTTTTTAAATAAAGGAGTTTTGATGTAGTATGTAAACATTAAAATTTCAAAACATGCCATTCACTTCCCAGTCCACACAGTCTATATAAGGAAACTAAGTGGCAAAAACAGCTGCTTTTAACTTACTGTTTCTGTGATGTCATGAGAACTCATTTACATATATACACATATTCAGCCTACAGCAGTTAAGCCCCACCCATTCAGACTGAAGTTATAAGCAGTGTCTCAGTTCTGACTCCTTTTTCAATAAGGCACAAAACAAGACTGCCAATCAGAACAGAGCTCATTTACATATATCAGTCTTAAAAGCATAGTAACAACAAACAGCCTGTTTAGTTCTAAGACAGTGGGTGTCAAACTCAACCACTAAAAGGACCATATTAAAAAATCTCAACGAATCTGTGGGCCAGCTGTTTTTATTTATTTATTTTTTTTGGCATGACCCCAACTGGCCATTGTGTGTTCAAAATATGCCAAAACAATGGCAAAAAATAGGCACTGAATACTTGAACTTTTTTTTTTTTTTTGTTGCTGTTCCATAGATCGTTGTTGGGGAGAGGGTGGGAGCACACAATACGTTGCAGTGCATGCTGGGAACTGTAGTGCAGCTCATGGTGAAATAGGCTAATATTAACAGAAAATTTAAATAATTTTGCGGGCCGAATAGGATTGTGCCACAGGCCTGATTTGGCACACGGGCCATGCATTTGACACATGGGTTCTAAGGGATAAAGAAGGGTTGGAAAATGGTCATGCAAAGATGAATTATGGCCATTTTTGGTACATAAAACCGCACAAAAGTTATAAGTGGATGCAAAGGAGATAAAATTGAATACGAGAGAAGTGTACGTTATGGACCCTTTGAAGACATCTTCACAATACACCACATGCACCACAATATCTCAATTTTCTGAGGTTTGAGAAGTTGGAATAGACATCAGAGCAGAAGAGCACCAGCAGTGCTACATTAAAAACCGATCAAAAACCTTTATTCAAAATTTTTCATACTGCGCTGCACTAAAGCCAAATAAACAGGACTAACTACTCTCTCTTCGAAACGCACAGTTGGTTAATGTTCTTTAAGTAAATATCTACTCCTCATGATAACAATAGATAGTGATATTTCCCAGCCCTAGCGACCACCAAAGAAATTCTAATGATAAAATTCTTCCATTTATGTTCATTTTCATACACCCAGGCAGTGAGCGAGTACACAGATTCTACATGAGAGTCCACCTCTGCCAGCAAGCAGTGACGGCCAATGGTTCTTGATTAGCATAATGCAGGCTGTGTGCTGAAGCCGCACAGAACTATTTCAAGACATGTTGCTTGGTAAAGTAACACCAATAAGTAATGAATGCAGCAGAGGAATGACAGCCATTTGGCATTTCTGCAAAAGATTTCTCAAAACGTAAGACCAGCGTAGACCTTGGCAAGATGGCTAGAGCTACACTTTTCTTCAGTTATGAAATAGCCTATGATGAAAAATTCATCAAGATAAGAGAAAGAGACTGTACTGCACTCTTAGTAACCACATGGAAAATTCTGTATGAAATTCCTGAACAGCTATGTTTGAGGCAGCTGTGTGCTGATGTAAACTTGATGATTTGAATCATGCTAAATGGGTGCTACTGGCTTTTTTTCATATTATCAGAATTATTATTTTTTTTAATTCTGTCATTAGAAAGTAACAAATACATATTTTCGTTTGGTCTAATGATCCCGCTCAGGCTACTGGCATAAAAAAATCATCAATAAGGCCGTATTTGTTCAAAGTTTAGCAGCTGTGTGTCCTTAATCTTCAGTCTGAGCTATTTCAGATGAGACCTGTCTGGTTCACTCGTCCAATTTGCAAACTGTGCTACTGTAGATTATCCAGCTACCTTATGTGGCCTTGTCTGGGTTTATGTGACCAGCCCCTGATCTCAATAAGTCCAAAATGTTCTTGGAATACCCTCCACTTTCCCAACATACATGTGCAATATGGTTGCCTGGAAGTGAAGAGCAATGATTCAGGTAGATCAGACTCAGGATACCAGGTCCAATATCATAGGTATCGTTTCTACTATAGTAGAACTGTAGTCTTACTACATCCAGCATGTATCAGCATAGGAACTGAAGTTTGGCTACATTCTTCTCTTATTTTCTTTTTTTTTTTTTTTTTTTTTTTGGTCTACAACAAAATGCTTTAGCTCCAAAGTGAGAGATGTGACCAACAGCGAAGCAGTACAGGACGTGACATGGTTAAAGATCATCCACTATTTTGCTGACCAAGACAATTTACTTTGGATAGATTATATGAATACCTTTATTAAAAACATCCACACTTAGGCCTGTTACAATTATTACATAATCAACTGTTCACAATTATATTAATTGCAATGCAGGTATCAACAGAAAAGATGCAAGATAGCTAATCAGCCGATTTGGCCACTTTAGGCTTGTACTGTATGTTAATAGCTGCATACAATAAAAAAAATACGATTCAATGGCCAGTCTCCATTATTTACATGGCAATTTATCAGCTATTTATGATTACATTAACAGGATTGGTCAATATTTCAGCCTTCTATAACAGGATTGGTCAATATTTCAGCCTTCTATATCAGTATTGCAGTGCTTCCTCTACCATTAAACAGTGCCACCTGGCTTGGATGAGATACAGACACGGGATGTAACCAGCAGGTTAATGCTTATCTCCTAGCACTTGGTTTTTATGTGGTTTGTGCTCATTTTTTGGCCAAAGTCAAATTATCAGAATTATTTTTTGGCCTGGTATGAACTGTAAAGCATCCAGTCACACATTAATTGTTAAGGTATAAAATAACTGACCAACTAATTATAACAATAATATATAATATAATAATAATAAGTCTCCAAAATGCTTCCGACAGCAGTGATATGCATCCCTTTACAGTCACAATTCTTCTAATGGCTACTTCAAGCATGATAATGCGTCACAAAACAAAAGTCGTCTCAAACTGGTTTCATGAACATGATACTGAGTTCAGTGTTCTTCAGTGGCCTTTCCAGTCCCTGGATTTGAATCCAACAGAACACCTTTGGGATGTGGTAGAACAGGGGATTTGCAGCATGAAAGTGCACCTGAAAAAACTGCAGGAAGTGCATGATGTAATCATGTCAACATGGACCTAAAAATAATGTTTCCAACATCTTGTGGAATCCATGGCAAGAAGAATTGAGGCTGTTTTAAGAGAAATTGGAGGCTATATTCAGTGTTAGTACAGTGTTCCTAATTAAGTGCTCGGTGAGTGTATATATTTTTTGACAGTGGCTATATGTATATATTATTTTTAAATAAATCATATAATATAATCAATGCTTTTTATTGTTTTTTTTAATGCAAATTTACTATTTAGAAAAGTGGACAGTAGAAAACAGAGAATTCATAAACATTTTCATTCTTCTCGACTAAATGGAGGCAAAAAGCGTGTTGTAATATAACATGTTTTGTCTAAAATGGTAGAAAGAACAAAATACGAATGCCCTCACTGCACATCAAATGTGCCTCTAATTGTAGAATGACCCCGTTATTGCAAAGGTCAATACAGCAGCAACTTAGGAACTAAATGTGAATGAAACTAAAATGGAACAGCAAAAGTAAATTCATTTTCACGGATACAAACCTGCATACAGGTAAAAGAACTATCATTTCAAAGTGCTAGTTAGAGGACAGATCGACTGGACTCACCAGTACGGACCCACAGCTTCTCAGTGATGTTGCAGGATGAAGGTGAGCTCTCAGTGGGTGGGCTGTGCTCAGTGGTGGTGCTCCCAGAGGTAGCTACAGTAGAGCTTTGAGGAGTCACTTTGGTGGACGTAGTTGCTAATGTAGTTGTTGTTGTTGGTGCAGCTGTTGTCGTAGTTGTTGTGGTAGTAGTCGTGGTCGTTGTGGTGGTGGTGGTTGTTGACGTAGTGGGCGGTTCTGTGGTGGGCGTTGTGATTTCGGTGGCCATGGTGGTGGGCGGTATTGTCATAGCAGCAACCTCTGTGGTCACGGGACCAGTAGTGGGCGTAGTCACAGTCGTGGCAGTCATAGTTAAGGGCGTGACCGTGGTGGTGGTCACTGTGGTGAGCTGGAGGCTGTCGCTGGTCACAGTGTCAGGGTTGCTGCTTGCAGGAGGGATGGCCGAGTCGTTCCCGGCCCTTCCTGCAGTGCCGTTGGATGCCAGAGTGGAGGCGGAGGCAGGGCTGGTCACGTGATCAGTTCGTGCAGGTTCCATCTCCTCCGGTACTGCGAGGGAGGAACCCGGAGCTGTGGGAAGGTCAGGGTTCATGAGGAGGTCACGAAGAACCTCTTCTGAAAAAAGACAACATTTGCATGAATCAAAGCGGAAGATCAAAACTTATTTAAGATGTTAGACTACATGCTACAGTTTTCTTAATTCTTATAGTAGCATTTTTCTATCACCATCCAGAAAAATGTGAAAGATGGACCTGATGAGTCATTGCAAAAACAAGAAGTGACCATTTTTCATTTCTGTAATTATGCAGCAGAGCCAAACACTTTTTCTTCTCAACACACCAGTGACAGACAATGAAGACAAATGTGGAACATTACCAATACAATTTTGGGGAGAGATGCACATTATAGCCACAATCAGGGATTTCTAAACACCTGGCAACCAAAATGCACTGAGTGCATTCTGTCAGTTTATAGGCTCTGAAATAACAACCAACCAGAGGATTTTGAGGTTTTAAATGGTCTTTTTTTGTCCAAAAATAACAGACGTCTATTCAAAAGCCCTTGTTTTGCTTATAATGAGTCAAAGCCCTTGTTTTTACCTATAATGAGTAATAATTAGAGACAGCACTGATCTGATACTTGGAATCAAAATCATACTGATATCTGCAGAAAATGCTGGATCACACATCAGAGTGATATAAAGAATGAACATGATTACATGACAAATCTTACTTGAAAATAACACTGATTTGCTTGTGGCGCCGCAAAACGTAAGTGAAGTAAGTCAGGTTCTAAAATCATTAACCACAGGATGTGATGAAAGTAAGGGTGGGCTAGTGGTTGAGAAGTTGAGAAATATCCAAATATTTTAAATATTTAATTTGAAAGCTTAGTAGTTTTTAATCCTCTGGGGATTTTTGCATATCTTATTAAATTCTCCTTTAAAGGCACTTGGATATAACATGATACTCTTATGCTTCACATCAAAATGCTCTGATATGTTTACCACTACTTTTCAAAACTGCTGCAGCAACTTCAGCAGCTACAAACTCACTGCACACCATTTCTCCGATGCCGACTGAATGAAGAATGAAGGGTTTCCGGCGTGATGGTCAGTCCTTAGTGATTTCCTGACTGTCCTTTAGTCAGTTTCACACAAAACGGAGACACAAGAATCCACCAATTACACACAGTGAGAAGCAGATGACGTGTATCTCAGCCCCTCTTCACAGCCTCATAACTCCTCATAACTGAGTCACGTACGATCTCGCGATAAGATGGAATGGAAAGGGCGACTCTAAAGATTTAGGAAATGTTTGAAGCATATTTCTGCGCTGTATTATCACAAAGATAGAGAAATATATTTAGAAACATTGGATTTGACACACGTACAAGCTAACGGAGTTAACAGGTATCACGCTGGATGCTGATGAGGGCTTGTCGACTTCTACATGAGGTATTTTCTCCTAAACGGACAATGAGCAAACGTGGTAGTTTGTCAGAGAAATATGTTTTCAGTTTATGGTACTAGCTTCAAAACATTCAAGATATTTTCTTGATTTTCAGAAAAACTCAAATATTCAAAAACTATGAATACAGTGATTTTTATTTAACATTTCACACACTTCACTGCATTAAAACCAATGAAATAGGACTAATTATGTTCTTTCTTTAATGAATCATGCAGTTGATCAGCATTTTCTAAGTACTGAGAATGTCCAGAATATGCTCAGAAAAGCGTACTGTGACATTATGTGATCATGATAATGATAAATATTGTCATCAAATCAAATCTCATTTATTGTCACATCACATTTACACAGGTGGAAAGTGAGTAAAAAACCGAAGTGCGTAGCCCCCTTATAGAATTTAAATACAAAAAAATATATATTTCTAAGAATAAAAAAGAAATATATATACCAACTCTGAATACACACATATGCAGTATTGCACTATTCCAATGTACAGTTGTACAGTAATAAGTTATATTGTACAGTAATAAGCCACATTGCCCACCCTTAAGCTAAGATTAGCTGGAGTGCTTAGTCTAGTCAGTGATACAGCTGCACTACACCTGCCTTATCAGCCATGTCCTTAACACGTTCATGTTCAGGCTCATGTGCTTCCATGTAGCAAAACATACCATGATTTACTTACACAAAATATGACCAAAACCGTCACACTTCACTCAGTTGCTGACCTTCTAATTTTCTTCCCATGATGAAATGTAACAGATACCTGAATCCTGATTTCAGTATTTGGATACTGGCATCTCAAATATCGGGTATTTGCGTACCCGAGCACGTCCCAACTCGGTAGCATCGTGTGACCTAGCTAGTGGGTGGGAATTAGTTATGACTAAACTAGAGGCAAAAATTGGAAAAAAAAAGAAAGCCATGATTGTGACTTTAAAGGCAAGAAAATGGGGATATGAGCAGAGTGTAGGGGTTGCGCAGACTACTTGTCTAGTTGACTTAACTGCTCAGCGATGTTGCTTTAAGCCTGATGTTGAACAGTTTCTGATTACATGATTATGACACTAACAAAATGGGCACCTCAGAGAAAATGTCCAGGTGAGGAGTGTGGTGATTTCAGGGTCCGTATCTCTGGTTTCCTGCAGGCTAGCTATGCGATCTAGGGCTCGTTGGAAAGGGCATGTCACACTCTACTGACTCTGGCTTCGTTCTAACATTCCTCCATCAACCTACAGTGCTTCGAAGATCAGACACTGAATAATGTCATCTCCGATTTCCCAAAGAGTACAATAAAGATATCTGAATTTCTCTCACTCTCCGGACCTCCACCGTGGGCGAGCGACTCGGCAAGGCCACCTAAGGTGCGCCAAAGTCGGATACAAATTTGCAAGATTCCAGGTTCCGTATCTCCGGTTCCCTGAAGGCTAGCAATGCTGTTTAGAAGTCGGAATTTTTTAAATTGCTGATTGTAAAGTATTCCCTTCTCCTGTGGTTTTATTCATGATGTCATCAGCGATTACTCGACATTAACGTGACTTTTAACACATAACTGTCAACTTTAAAAAATCTGAAGTCGGGCAACCCCTAGCAGAGTGTAATGAGCACACAAAAAAGATGGAATGACAGAAAGAGGACGCAAGACAACAAATCAAACAACCTTCATTAAAAAGACACAATGGGCTTGCAATGATGTATCAATGTAAAGATGATCATACATAACTGCAAAAAGGATGAAGATGATGGTGATGAGAAGCATGAGGATGAGGATGATGACAACAACAGTGGTGGCGCCTACATCATGTCAGCAGAACGTCTGCAAAGAAACCGTTTTAAGCACAAAATCACAAAATAGCCTAAACACAAAATAAGTTTCTGGCTCGAGCGTCCTGAGCCTGAGCTGAGCGTACCTGAGCTGGTGCTTAATGCACTGTTGGTTTGGGCCACTCGGGTTGGAGCGTGTGGCGCTCCAGCGGACGGCTCCTGCGGGGATTTGTGATTGGTGAGATTGTCACTGTTGCCGGGTGGGGAGGGCAGAGACTGCACCAGCGCCCGAGGCGGTGTGTCTGAGTCGGCCCGCAGGGTCAGCACTGACGAATACACCGCCTGCTCTTTGCTGCTCACCGCTGCCCCTGCCGGTACGGAGGGGGACTGCGAGAGAGGCGTCCCCTCCTCATCCAGCAGCGAGGGAGAGGATGGAATTCTAATTCTTGAAGCTTCCATAGCAGTCGGTGCTGCAGCAGGACGGTCCGAAACGTCTGACTTCCCCTCATCTGCAGAAACAGAAACACAGTAACAATCCTTAAACATATGAATGAGATTTGAGAGAAATTGGTAAATTTCAAAAAAGGTTCGGTTTAAATGTCTGAAACTGAATTTTCTTTTTAAAATAAAAGTTTGATACAGTGTGTAAACACTGTTAAAGTTTCAAAATATATCTTACACTTCCCAATAAATATAGTCCAAATATATATATATTTATTTATATATGTGTATATATATGGACTATATTTAAATCTATTTATATATGTGACATTTACATATATCTGTCTATTCAGCCTACAGTACTTTAGTCCCAGCCATATAATATATATATCAATTAATCTTAAAAGCACAGTAACAACAGCAGCCTGTTTAATTCTAAAGGATAAAGAGATAAAGAGACAGTACACTGGCTCTTTAAAAACAGGTTTCCTGTCCAACTTTCACATGTGACCATGGTTAACTCGTTCTATGACAGTAGCAACCCATTTTCTCTGTTAACCAGGTTTAGATACTCAAACTCTGAATAATCTCTGAAAGCATGAAAAGAATGACGTTGAATGACACCAATTAAGTGAAACACTGAGCAGCTAAGGAAAAAGACATGCTGCTACATAAATACATAGCGAGTTAAGCATTTATACTGGCAAAACGCAATGCTGTCACCTGCCACCACATTAGTGCTTTCAGCTTAGTACTACATCATGTTCTTCATATTTGTGTAGTATAATTTATTCCCTGAAAAGCAGTATTTTTCACGTGATTGATGGTGCGAGAGGTAGCTAAGTGGTTGCTGTGACATTTGTTTTAATGCTAAATGCTGTTTGTGTATTATACAACAAACAAACAGGAAGAGAGTGACAAAGACCACCTCCATTAGAAGGCAGGCACTGAGCTGTTTACTATCTGTAATCCTGAAACCTCCCTCGGAGCAGCAGAAGTTGCCATGACACTGAATCCTGGTAAGAACTGATGCACCATCATGAGACAGAAAATCCAGGGTTGAGGTCGTTGCTCACCATATGCGAAACAAAGTTTACTTTCATGTCATGAAATATTGTACATATACATGAAAATGTACATATAAGGTAAATCAAATCAAATGTACATATAAGGTAAATTAAAATGGTGCATGCCTATTCAAGGGTGAAAAAGGGGTACACTTCCTGTCTGCTTAAGGCCCAATCCCATTTCACCCCTCGCCCTCAGCACTTAGCCCTTACCCCTCTGTTTTGTGCATTCACGCCTAGGGGTAGGGTGTCCTGGTTTTTGTTGAGATAGAGGGGTAGGGTGAAGTGTTAGGGCTACATGGCCCTTCAAACAGAGGTTTTTCAGAGGCACCATTTAAGGTGGAATGAGACAATTAAAACAAGAAGCTGGCGAATATCTGACTTCAGCTTCATATCACAGAAGAATTAGGGGTGGGTGATAATAAATAATTGCCCCCCTCTTTAAAGGCATATGATTCCCTAAATGTAACTAAAGCCCAGCAGTGAGGAGCTGAACTTTACCCTCCTCTGCTGTCACTGCAGACTGGCAGGGTTGCCTACAGAGCAGCGCTAGTAGCTGTTAATGCTCTTTTTTATTTGAGGGTCCCATTTCAGAGGGACGATTTCAATCACTACCCTGTAACTCAGTACCAAAGGACAAGGTGACACTCGAAAACAAGGGGTAGGGGTAAAAATAAGAAATGGGATTGGGCCTTAGTCTTGCGTCAACTGCTTCGCCCCCTGGCCCCATCTTTCTGGGCAACACCTGCAGCTGGTGCAGAAAGACGGGGTAGCTGCCCTGAATAAACCTGAGACAAAACAGTTTTTTTCTCAAATCAGGTCATCAGAAAATACACGTTTAGGCTCAAAATACACACACAAGACCCTGACAATTACAAAAATGGCCAGAAGTTTGCTGTAATCCTAAAGGGGGAGGATTTAATAGCTAAAATTGATAAAATGGTCAGAGTTTCCTGCTGATGTGTGTGGAGCTCTAGGTTGTCTGCTCAAAGGGGGAAGAAGCCCCCCTCCCACTCAGCACACAATGTGACCACATTCCTTGAAATATTTTGACACGGAAACTCTCGCTTCCTCCATCCTCTCCAATCACACATCCCTGTTCTGATCTAATTTCTTTTTTTTGCAACGTTATTGGTGAATCGTATGTATCAGAGCTGTCAATCAGTAACTCCCAGAGGAACCTCAAAAGGCATAGGTAGATATGCATGTGCCAGACTTAAATATAAATAAACTCAACAAAGCTAGCAAACAACTGAATTAAATCTGTAACCCCAGTCAACAAATAGGCGACATGGTGAGACATTACTCATCTGCTGGAGGTGAACGAGTGCATTTTAATGGTCTCTGAGACGAGGAGCTGACACTTATATATTCATTTTTTTCTGTGTCCATGCATAATCACCAAACCTCCTGCGAAACAGCTCACACTGTTTTAAATATGACCAGAACCAAATCACAACATGCAAAGCTCATGACTCATCAGAGCGGAGAGGAGAAATGAGGAGGGGAAAAGTGTCACATTCATCTGTATTCATTTTATAGCTCAAACAGAAAAGAAGCTCACATTTAAAACACACTGAGGAGCAGCAGCCTGTTACTAACTACACACCTCACACTCACTGACACAACAGCCTGAATGACTGACCACAGCTAATCACCTTCACTGTTACTGAGAGAGAGGGAGAGAGGGAGAGAGAGAGAGAGAGAGAGAGAGAGAGACAAACACAGAAAGAGAGAGAGAGAGAGAGAGACAGACACAGAAAGAGAGAGAGAGAGAGAGAGAGAGAGAGAGAGAGAGAGAGAGAGAGAGAGAGCACACAGTAAGACAAAGAGAGGGACAGAGAATGCGAAGAACAGAAAGAGAAGACAGCAAGAAAAACAAAACAGACAGAAAAAGATGAAGAAGGGAGAAAGGGAGAAGGAGATAGAAAGAGGGAAACAGAGATAGAGTGACAAAGAGAAAAAAGAGCAAGAGAAACAGAAAACAGGAAACATGAAAGGCAGAGATGAAAGAGATGGAGAAAAAGAGAAAAAGTCAGGGAGACTCAGAAAGCGAGAGAGCAAGAGAGAAACAGAAAACGGAAAGAGAGAGAGATGGAGCGGGAGAGATGAAAGAGGGGGAAAGAGAAAGAGAGTCGAAAAAGAGCAAGAGAGAAAACAGAACATGAGAGAGTCAAAAAAGAGTAAGAGAAAGCAAGAGACACAGAAAAGAGAAAGAGAGGGAGTGAGGGAGAGGCAGAGATGAAAGAGGGAGAGAGAAAGAGTCAGGGAGACTGAGAAAGCAAGAGAGCAAGACAGAGAAGAGAAAGAGCGGGAGCGATGGGAGACAGAACAAAGACACAGAAAAGGGAAAGAGAGGGAGAAAGGGAGAGGCAGAGATGAAAGAGTGGGAGAAAGAGAGAGTCAAGAAAGAGACAGAGCAAGAGAGACAGAGAAAAGAGGAAGACAAGGAGTGAGGGAGAGGCAGACATGAAAGGGGGGAGAAAGAGAGAGTGGTGAAAGATAAAGAGTAGCAGAGAAACAGAAAAAGGGAGAGCTGAGAGAACAAGAGAGACAGAAAAAAATGAGAGAAAGAAAGCAGGAGAGTGATAAAAGAGAGAGAGAGATGGATGGATGATGGAGAGTTGAGAAAGAAACAGAGCAACAGAGAGATAGAAAGAGTTGAGAGAGAGAGCAAGAGAGACAGAAAATAAAAAGAGAAAGAGAGCAAGAGAGTGATAAAACAGTGAGATAAAGAGAGAAAGATGGATGGATGACAGATACACAGGGACAGAAATATACAGAGATGAAGGAGAGGAAGAGAGAGTCGTGAAAGAGAAAAGAGCAAGAGAGACAGAAATGAGAAAGAGAAGGATTGAGGGAGAGGCAGAGATGAAAGAGAGAGAGAGAGAAAGAGAGAGAGAGATAGGGAAAGAGTCAGGGAGACTCAGAAAGCGAGAGAGCAAGACAGAAACAGAAAACAGAAAGAGAGAGAGTTGAGAGAGACAGCAAGAGAGACAGAAAACAGAAAGAGAGCATGAGAAAATCAGTGAGATAGAGAGAAAGACTGATGGATGACAGATACACAGAGAGACGAGAGATGAAGGAGAGAAAGAGAGAGATGGGGGTTAGACTGTGAGAAACCTGGCTGTGGCCCGTGACTCTGTCAATGTTATGCTCCCCAGGATGGGAGTAAAATAAAGGACGGCGAAGCTCTATTAGTCAAAGCATTAATCATCTCTGAGCGACTCTCCGGCCGTCAGGCAGCGAGGAGACAAAGAGCGAGCGCTGTGATTTCTCTCTTCCACAAAGTTAAGTAAGCTAAATAATTCACAGGCCTCGGTGCTGGTGGTGGGGGTGGGGGGTGGTGTGCTTACAGAGCACTGTCGTTATAAAAGAAGCTCAGATAAAATGCCTTCAGTCGGGTTCCGCTCTGCAGTGGCTGTGTGAGAGAGCGTGGGCGTGTGAGTGTGTATCTCAGCGACAGGTCACGTTGAAAGCCTATTCTCCAACGGATAGCCACCTGCTCTGACAGTCCGAGCATATGGGGTATCCTGAGAAACGGACAGCTAGAGGGAGGCGGGGGGCTTGTGAGAACGGGGCTGCATGATCACGTACCAGAGAGGGAGGGAGAGCAAACATACACACGGATTTCACTCCAGCATATTGACTCACTTTGGAAAGTTAGACTTGATTATAATCACTTATAATCACGCCTGGCCTGAATAATATGAACACTCGAGCTCTGTTTTATCCTGCATGTAAACGCAGTCACTAAAGTAGATCATTTGAGAAATGTCACTAAAGTTCAGCCTTTTCTATCTCGACGCAGAGAAACTTGTTCATGCATTTGTTACAAGCAGAGTTGATCACTGTAATGATCTTCTTACTGGACTTCCTAAGAAAACAGTACATCCCTTACAACTCGTACAAAATGCAGCAGCATCCTAACAAAAACAAAACGAAGAGATTATAACACTCTCGTTTTTAAAGAACTGCACTGGCTGCCGGCATCATTCAGG